CCCACCCGAGTCTCAGCATAGGCCGGGGCCGCCATCTACAATCGTCGGGAACCAATGCAGTCACCAGCCAGGCTCGCGACGCCCACGAGGTGCGCCGCACGTGCCTGGGGCGCCACGCGCACCAGGTGCGCCACATTGAGCTTCCATCCCCCGCCATCCTTGCCAAAAGCGGAGGCACCGTGACGGCGGGTTTGCTAGCATTGTGTATTGCGTGTGCGCGCGAAATCACTTCGCAGTTGTTTTTGACAGGGATGGTCGGCTTGCATTACAGCAGGTGATAGGGCGGCCCCCTTCTGCCGTTCCTGTCAAGGAAAATGCAAAGTGATCACAGGGCGCCCGCGCATGATCTTCATTTTGGTGCAAAGTGCACTGTTGTTTTTTGCCAGAGATGGTGGGGGATTTGGCATTTCAGACAGCAGGCAATATGTCGACACCCCGCCATCCTTCTCAAAAGCGAATGCAGCATGATCGCGGGGCGCCCGCGCATGATCCAGGTTTTGGTGCAAAATGCATTTCGCATTGTTGTTTGCCAGAGAATGTGTGGGGGGGGCGTTGCACACAGCAGGCTCTATATCAACACCCCCGCCATCCTTGCCCAGCGCGAAAGCACAGGGATCGCGGGGCGCCCGCGCATGAACCATATTTTGGTGCAACATAATTTCGTATGTTGGGTGCGTTGGCGTTGGACACAGCAGGCCAACATGTCGACACCCCCACCACCCCCGTCAAAAAACTCATGCGAAGTGATCGCGGGACGCCCGCGCATTATCAAGATTTTGGCGCAAACTGCATGTTGCATAGTTTTTTGCAAGGGATGGTCGGGTGGGGGGTGGCAGTGTTCCTGGTTTCTCGCCGGTCGGGTGGGGGAGGGGGCGTCCATGTTTAATGGACAGTGATCAAATCAAGACGTTTCCTGCTCACAGGGCGCAAGCCGTTTTGCTCCATCCCACACGCCCTCCCCAACACATGCGTAACACCCGATCGTCCCTGACAAAAACCACTGCAAAGTTGTCGCAGGGTGCCCACGCATGCCCCAGGTTTGGGAGCAACGTGTATCTAATGGCAGTCGGTCCATCTCGCTACCGTGCCTGGGTTGTGATGATGGAGTCTATTGGATGTTCGTTGGGATCTCGTGGGAGGCCTCTCGGAGGCTTCTTGGAGGCCTCTTGGGTGCCTCTTGGGGGCCGTGTCGGGCCTCTTGGGGCCATTTTTGGGCCTTTGGGGGGCCTCTTGGGGGTCTCTTGGGGCCTCCTGGGCGCTTCTTGGGAAGGCGGAAGGCTCGGATTTTCGGTTCGTGTTCCCTCTTTTGAGCCTCTTTTGCGGCCGTCTTGGGGCCCTCTTGGGCCGTCTTGGGCGCCTCTCAGGCCGTCTTGAGGCGCTCTCTTGGGGCCGTCTTGGAGGCCTCTGGGGCCGTTTTGAAATGGTTTTGGGGGTCTCTTGGGCCGTCTTGGAGCGTCAGAAAGCCGAAAAGGCGAGAACACCCAACTCCTTCAAAATCCAGCGGAAAGTCAATTATGTTTGCTTCGTGAGGCCCTCTTGGGAGGCCTCTTGGAGGCCTCTTGGGTCATATTGAGGCCATCTCGGGCGTCTTGGCCCGATCCTCGGGCGTCTCGGGGCCTTCTTGGGCCGTCTTGGGGGCCGCTTGGGGCCCTCGTGGCCCGTCTCGGGGCCCTCTTGATCCAGAAATGTCGGAGGACACCACTTCCTGGAGCCCAGGGTAACCGCGAGAAGCCCGAGGAGATTTTGGCCGAAGGGCTCCGAAACCCTTGAAAGACGGTTATTCAGGAGTGAGGGCTGAGGCTTAGGGGGGTAGTGAGAGGACCTGGGGGCATGCCCATTCCGTGCCCAAGGGAATTGTGGCGGATTTGCATTGCAAGTTGTCAGGGACTGTTCGCCTGCGCGCAGCAAGCAATATGAGGCCCCCCCCGCCGTCCCTCTCCCTAACCAATGCAAAGTGGTCGCTGGGCTCCCGCGCAAGCTCCAGATTTGGAGGGAAATTGTATTTTGTTTTGTTTTCTGACAAGGGGGCTTGGCTTGCGTGCAGCAATCAATCTGCGCCCCCCCCCGCCGTTCCTGTCAAAAACACCGCAATGTGATCGCGGACGCCCGCGCAATGTGGTCGCGGACGCCCGCGCGAGCTGTTCTAGAAAGGGATGGTGGGGGGGTCGTCATGGGGACAGATTGGCTGCTGGTCGCCTGGGAGAGGAAGCGTTTACTAATAGGGACCAGTGATCAACCCTTCCCCGAAGGGGAAGAAGAGGTTGCGTCCAGAGGGCTGGTGAGATTTCCGCTGGACTGGAGTGGGGGAAGGTTTTGGGTTCGAGGTTCAGGGTTTGGCGTTTCTATCTGTTCTCGGCGTTTTTTCAGCCCCCGGGGGGTGTCTCCAGCAGCCGCGTCTCGCCGAGGTCGTTCCGGGGGTGCCCGGATCACCTCGAACGGCCGCTGGAGGCTTGAGCCATGGCCCGAAAGCCAGACCTTTCCAGGGCGCCTTCCTTATCCGATCGATCCGACTCGATCTGATCGATCCGATTCGATTTCGACCCGATCGAGCCGATTCGATGTCCATTTCGATCCGATCGATCCGGCTCGATGTCGATTTCGGCCAGGCCGATCCAGTTCGATTCCGATGTTTGTTCGTCGATCCGATGCTGCAGAGGTTCGCACCGGGGCTGCTGTCGTGAGTCCTGGCGCGGTCGACCAGAGGCGATCTCGAGTTCGTGTCGACGCGGCCCGGTCCGGCGCACGGTGCGAGTCGATCCACATGTTCCGGCCATGCTTAGAGGGGGAGGGGGGTAATTAGGGGGAGGGGGGAAGTCTTCTCAGAGAGTACCCCTGCTTCTTGGAAGGCGCTTCCTTATCTATAGATATGAGGCGGGCGCCTTCCTAAGAAGCAGCCTCCTTCTAAGAAGCCTTCCCCCCTCTCCCCCTGCCCCCCTCTGCGCTCCGCCGAATCTTCCTGGCCATGCAGTCTTTAACTGCTGTGGGGGGAGAGGGCGGGGTGAGCCTCTCCAGGTCCACATTTGCACTGCGTGCTCGCCGTGATCTGCGTGTCCGCCGGTGGCTGGCTGGGAGTAAGCTTGCGCCCCTCGACACCGAGCCTCCTACGCCTTTCACACTTGCGCTCGTGTAGTCGGCCCGTCTCACGAGGATGCACGAAAAGGATGCAAGGGCCTTGGATGGCCGTTTGGAAGCTTCTCGAGCGGGGCGCGGCCAAGGAAAGTCGCCAAGGATGGGCCGAGGAGGCAAGGATGCAAACGCACCCTTGGGAAGGTTGCCCATCCTTCCTCTGCGGGTCGACTGTGCTACTGCGTCAGAGGGGAGAGATCGCGGAGGAGTTTTCCGACGGTGCCGACGGATCTTGTTCTTCAGCTGCTGCCGCTCCTCGGGGGTGGGGCCGTGTGACAGTTTCTGCGGGTGCTCGCGATCTCTTTCGGCGGGCGCGGCCCTGCGATACCCCTGGAGCATCGATGTCGCGGAGGCGGGCTGCATTCCTCGGGGCCTCCCAGCTGGGGTCCGAGTAGATGGTCGGGGGCGGGAGACATATCCAGATCCACGGGATCGCGGGCGGGACTCCTCGGCCGCGACCCCATGGATACCGGGCGGCTTTGCGCGGATGCCCCGCTCGGAGCGCATCTCGCGTATCCATGTGATCGCGCCTCGGAATCCAGACCGCGAGGGTATGGATATGAATATATTCGTCGCCCTTGAGATGGGATCGGAGGATCGTCGGGGGTTGGAGCCACATGCGGGTCTGAGGTGTCCCAGCACTGGTTCCAGCCAGCAGGAGACGTTTTTTTCTGGTCCGGCGATAGCCCGGGTTATCGGGCTCGCCCCTCCCCCCCCCCCGATAGCCTCACTTTGTCGGTTGAGCAGATCCGGAGGGGGGCCCAGGGCGCTCTTTGGGGCATGTCCTTTAGGCATATCCTGTCTAGACACTATTGGATGTCTAGACATCAGACCCCTCGGCCGCCTCCACGTCAGGGGTCCCCACACGGTGTGGTGAGAACACCGCGTGGTGAGACACCTAGGGTTCGGGTTCACCACGCAGTTTTGGGACTCGGGTCGTCCTCCAAGGATGTCTCAGGCGACTGGGGCCTCCGAGGTCCCAAAACCTTGCGGCGAGGGACCGCGTGGTGTGGTCGTCGGAGATCCCGAGGTCTCCACGCGGCGTGTCACAACACGGTTCCGGGGCCCCGAGGATCGCGTCGCATCGCCGATGCTTCGGCGATGCAGCGCGATGCGAAGCCCAGTTTTCTCCGCGCCGACGTCGCCGGTGTATCGGCGACGCCGGCGGTACATCGGCGATGCATCGGCGATGTAGCGCGATCCCCCGACCCCATCTGCAGTCAGCCCGCATAGTTAGGATGGGCAGGTTTCCAAGGTTATCATTGCATCCTTCCCCTTCGGTCCATCCTTGGCCACTTTCGCTGGCCGCGCCCCGCTCGCAAAGTGTCGACATGGCCTTCCAAGGCCCTTGCATTCTTACCGTGCGTCCTTATTCTACAGTCGGACCGAGGCATAAGATCGAGGTCGGTTCGGGGAGGGCACTCTAATGTTCTTCGTGTTGATCGGATATGCTTGGGCATCCTGGAAAAGGGCACCCTCTGTGTTTTTTTTTATTTGGGGTGCTTTGGCCGGCGGAGGGTCTCATGCTCTTGGAGGATATCCCTCTGACCTAGGTTTGCTTGTACGGGTTGACAGTACTCCGACCCCCTCTTGTCGGCGTCACCCCAACATACTGATAGTGTGTGTGCGTCGCCCCCCCTCCTCCCCACGGGCGACGCGCGCACCGAGAAATCTTGCAGTAATTGCGTCGTGGCGGGCGCTTCCTGGCCACACCGCTCGGGAAACAGTGTACTACAAGATGGGTATATGCTCGGGTCGGACGCGCGCCTCCAAGGAGGACATAGTACTACTATGTATCTGTGCGTTCCATCTGGGAGGGCTCCAACTCCACGTCTCGCGGGTCGCTGCCGTGCAGCCCTGCCCCAGCTGCCGAGGCCGAGATGGGCCTCTTCTACGGCCGCGGCGGCCGGTCCCTCGGCAGCGGCGGCGGGCGCCGCGGGCCGGCTGGCGGCAGGGCGGGCATCTCCGTCACCGTCATCGTCGTCGCCGTCGTTGTTGTCATCGTTGTCGCTGTGGCTGTCGTCGTCGTCGCCATGTCGTCGTTGTCGTCGGCGTCGTCGGCGTCGGCTGCTGCTGCTGTGGCTGTGGCTGTTGTTGTTGCTGTTGCTGTTGTTGTTGTAGTTGAACTCTCATTTCTGGAGAATAACTATTGTTGATCCCCCCCGCCCGGTGCACATTGTATTTTGTTCGATTGAAGTACCCCTCCTAGCGCTTGCATCTTGCTTTTTCACAGGGAAAGTCTTGAAGCTCAAACTGTGTCGTTGGCCCCCAGTTTACAACAACAACGGCTCCCGCCTGATAATTCTTAACAATTTATTGAAGAATCGCACTCTCGCTTTGGATTTCCTGACAATTTGCCACCGGATCGCGGCTCCTGCCTGATACTTCCTGACAATTCATTAGAGAATCGCGTTCTCGCTTGGGACTTCCTCGCAACTTACCACCGAACCGCTTCGCTTGATATTTCCTCACAATTTATTCAGATGCCGATCCTCGACATTCAGGAATCGCGATCCCGCTACATATTGCCTGGTGGTTCAAGCAGGACTCACGCTTCAACAACCCGCTCGCTCGATCCGCCCGTCGGGGCCCGCCCGCCCGACCAGCCCGTTAATGACTGCAGTCGCCGCTCGCTGCCCTTCGCCCGCCTTTGATGCCCCTCGCTGCCCGTACTGGTTCCGCGGTCGCCTTCGCTCGCTGCCCTTCGTGGCCGCGTTGCTGCCCTCAGTGACCCCGTCGCTGCCCTTTGTGGCCCCGCATTATACGCCCTTCGTGGCCCCCGCTCGCACGCGCCCATCGTGGCCCCATACGTATGCCCTCCATAGCCCCGCTGTCGCCCTTCGTGGCCCTCCTTTGCTGCCCTCAGTGGCCCCCCTGTCGCCCTGTGTGGCCCCGTATACGAATCCCCTTCGTGGCCCCCGCTCGTTCGCGCCCGTCGTGGCCCCATACGCATACCCTTCGTGGCCCCGCTGTCGCCCTTTGTGGTGCCCTCGCTGCTCCTCGTGGCCCCGGTACTGCCCTCAACGGCCCCGTCGCTGCCCTCTGTGGCCTCGGATTTTATGCCCTTCGTGGACCACGCTGGCTTTTCTCACGATCTACTTGGGAATCGCGCTATCGCGCCAGACTTCCTCGCGATTCAAGCAGGACCCACGCTTCAGCAACCCGCCTGCTCGACCTCGTCGCCTGGGCCCGCCTTCCCGACCTGCCCGCTATGGCTGCCCACCCGATCTGCCCGTCTGGTTCTACCATTTGTTTTCTGCTCCTTGACCCCTTTCTGCTAACTTTCCTGCTCATTTCTCTCGTGCTCCATTCTTCTCCCTCCCCCTTCCACCCGTCCTCACCTCCCTTGTTTTAGGGGCTGCACTAAATACATGTGGCAGGTAAGGAAGATATAACCCCAAGAGGGTAAGATCGAAGACGACGAGGGCGGGTACCGAGGGTTTGGGGTATACGTACTGATTGGCACGTGAGAAGATAGGAGCGAACAGTCTTAAAATGATTGAACTCTCACTTCTCAAGAATAATTCTTGTTGATCCCCCCACCGGTGCATACTATTTTTTCTTAATCAAAGTGTGCCCCTCGACGCTCGCACCTTTTTTTTATCAGGGAAAGTCTTGAGGCTCAAACTGAGCCCCTGGTCCCCGGGTTACAACAACAACGGCTCCCGCGTGAGACTTCCTCACAATTTAGCCAGGACCCCCGCTCCCGCCCGAGACTTCTTCGTATGTATTCAGGAATCGCGCTCTCGCTGGGGAGTTCCTTACAATTTATTGAGGAATCGTTCTCCTGGCGCTCTGGAGTCGCGCTCTCGCTGGAGACTTGCTTGCAATTTACTGAAGAATAGCGCCCTTGCGTTACAATTTCCAGCAATTTGTCTCAAGCGCCGCGCTCCCGACACCCAGGCACCCAGGAGTCGCGCTCACGCTTAGGACTCCCTCACAGATTACCTGGGAATCGGGATCTCGCTGCCCTTCGTGGCCCTATTGCAGCTCTTCGTGGCCCCCTCGCTTTGTTTCGTGGCCCCTTTGCAGCACCTCGTGGCCTCCTCGCTGCCCTTCGTGGCCCCGTTGCAGCCCTTCGTGGCCCCCTCGTTTTGTTTCGTGGCCCCGTTGCAGCCCTTCGTGGCCCCCTCGCTGTCCTTCGTGGCCCCGTCGCAGCCCTTCGTGGCCCTGTGGCAGCCCTTCGTGGCCCCCTCGCTGCCCTTCGTGGCCCCGTTGCATCCCTTCGTGGCCCCATACATGTATGCCCTTCGTGGCCCCCGCTCGTTCGCGCCCGTGGTGGCCCCGTATGCATGCCCTTCGTGGCCCCGCTGTCGCCCTTCGTGGCCCCCTCGCTGCCCTTCGTGGCCCCGTTGCTGCCCCTCGTGGCCCCGTCCTTGCCCTCCGCGGCCCTTTATACGTATGCCTTTCGTGGCCCCCGCTCGTTCTCGCCCGTTGTGGCCCCATGTGCGTGCCCTTCGTGGCCCCGCTGTCGCCGTTTGTGGCCCACTCCCTGTCCTACGTGGCCCAGTTGCTACTCTCAGTGGCCCCATCGTTGCCTTCTGTGGCCCCGCATTATCTGCCCTTCGTGGTCCCCGTTCGTTCGCGCTCTTCGTGGTCCCATACGCATTCCTTCCGTGTCCCCGCTGTCGCCCTTCGTGGCCTTCTTCGTGTCGTTCTCTCTCTGTTTCGCTTTCGCTCGTCGTCGTCGTCGTCGTTGCCGTCGTCGTCGACGTCGTCGTCGTCGTCGACGTCGTCGTCGTGGTCGGTCCCCTGTGCGTCCCTCTTGGGGTCGGGTCGACGGTCCGCGGCCGCCCCGCCGATCAGCGCTGCCGCTAGCCAGGCCGACGGTCCGCGGCCGCTCCGCCGCTTGCCGGGGCCTGGCCTGCAGGGAAGAAAGGTATACCCCCCAAAAGGGGCTCGATCGAAGACGAAGAGGGCGGGTATCGAGGATTTGGGAAATACACGTTGAATGGCACTCGAACAAATAAGATCGAACAGCCTTTACATTATTGTTGTTGTCGCCGTCGCTTTCGACGTGGTCACTGTCGTCGTCGTCGTCGTTGTGGCTGTCATTGTCGGCATATCGTTGTCGTCGTCGCCGCCATATCGTCGTCGTCGCTGTTGCTGCTGCTGCTGATGTTTTTGCTGCTGCTGCTGCTGTTGCTGCTGTCGTTGTTGTTGTTGTTGCTATTAGTGTTGCTGTTGTTGTCGTTTTGTTGGTGTTGAGCTTTACTTCTGAACAAAAGTTATTGTTGATCCTGCCCTCCCGTTACATATGCGCTTTCCCCTCAAAGTTCCCATCCTTGGGCTCGCACACTGTTTCTATTAGGGCAAGCATTCCTCCTGAATCTGTGTTGTTGGGCCCCGAACTGCAACAACAACGGCTCCCGCCTGATAGTTCTTCGTAATGTTTTGGAGAGTCGCGCTCTCGCTTGGGACGTCCCCGCGATGTATGCAGGAATTGCGCTCTCTCGTGGAACTTCCTCGCAATTGATTCAGACGATGCGCCCTCGGCGCTCAGGAATCACGTTCTCGCTTTGGGCTCTATCGCGTTTCTTGTTGGGGAATCGTGCTGTCGCGTGAGACTTCTCGCGATTCAAGCAGGACCCACGCTTCAGCAACCCGCCTGCTCGACCTGGTCGCCCGGGCCCACCTTCCGGCCTGCCTGCTATGGGTCTGCCCACCCGATCTGCCCGTCTGGTTCTACCACTTGTTTTCTGCTCCTTGCCCCCCTTCCTGCTAATTTCTCTCGTGCTCCATTCTTCTCCCTCTCCCTTCCACCCGTCCTCTCTTCCTTTGTTTTAGGGGCTGCAGTAAATACACGTGGCAGATACGGAAGATATACCCCCGAAGGGGTACGATCGAAGTCGACGAGGGCGGGCACCGAGGGCTTGGGACATACGTATTGATTGGCACGTGAGCAGATAGGAGCAAAAAGTGTTAATTTGATTGGTACTGTTGTTGCTGCATTCTCCGTACTGAAGAATAATTATTGTTGACCCCCCTCCGGTTGCCATTGCATTTTTCAAGTGAAGTGCTTCCCCCGGGGCTCGCACTTTTTTTTTACCAGGGAAAGTCACGGGGCTCAAATTGTGCCGTTGGCCCCCGGTTTAGAGCAACAACGGTTCCTTCCGTACATGTTCTCGCAATTTTCCAAATCGTGTTCTCGCGCGGGACTTTATACGAATCACGTGGGGCTTCCTTGCAGTTTATTCAGACGATGCGCCTTCGGCGTTCAGGAATCACGCTCTCGTGTTGGGCTTTATCGCGATCTACTTTTGAATCACGCTATCGCTCGAGACTTCCTCGCGATTCATGCAGGACTCACGCTTCAGCAACCCGCCTGCTCGACCTGGTCGCCTGGGCCCGCCTTCCCGACCTGCCCGCTATGGGTCTGCCCACCCGATCTGTCCGTCTGGTTCTACCACTTGTTTTCTGCTCCTTGTCCCCCCCTGGTAATTTCTCTCGTGCTCCATTATTCTCCCTCCCCATTCCACTCGTTTTCGTTACCCTTGTTTTTGGGGCTGCGCTCAATGCATGTGGCAGGTAATGAATATACCCCCAAGGTGCTACGATCGAAGACGACGAGGGCGGGCACCGAGGTTTTGGGATATACGTAAGGACTGGCACGTGAACAGATCAGGGCGAACAGTCTGGAAATGATTGTTGTGGTTATTATTACTTTGTTTATTACTATTATTGTTGTTGCTGTTGTAAGTGTTGTTGGTGTTGGTGTTGTTGTTGTTGGGGCCATTGTTGTTGTGGTTGGTGATATTGTTGTTGGTGTTGTTGTTGGTGCTGTTGTTGTTGTCGTCGTCGTCGTCGTCGCCGCCGCTTTCGACGTTGTCGCTGTCGTCGTCGTCGTCGTTGTGGCTGTCGTTATCGCCATATCGTCGTCGTCGTCGTCGTCGTCGTCGTCGTCGTCGTCGTCGTCGTCGTCGTCGTCGTCTGAGGCCCCGACGTCACTGCGGAGGACCGCCGCCGCTGCGCTTCCCGTTGCGCCCCCCCCCCGTGCTCGCTGAGGCGCGCCCTGGCTCCCGATGCTAATGGGACAGGAGGAGGGTGCACGGGAGTGGGCGGGGGAAGGGGGGGGGAAGGGAGAAGGGAGGCATGAGGGGGGGAGGAGGGAGGAGCAGGAGGAGAAGGAGGGAGGGAGGGATGTGGGTGAGGAAAGGGAGGAGGAGGAAGAGGAGGAAGGGGAGGAGAGGGGAAGGTAGAGGAGGAGGAGGAGCAGGTGGAGGTTGACCGTGAAGACGAGAAGGACCAGCATGAGGAGGAGGGGAGGAGGGAGGGAGGGAGGGAGGGAGGGAGGGAGGAGGGACGAGCAGGGAAGGAGGAGGGAGGAAGAAGGAGAGGAGTGGAGGAGGAGGAGGAGGAGGAGGAGGAGGAGGAGGAGGAGGAGGAGGAGGGAGATGAGGGAATAAACAGGAGAGGAGGAAGAGGAGGAAGAGAAGTACTTCGGAGGAATATGAGGGTAAACGGGGAGGAGGAGGGAGGAGGGGGGGGATACCCTGGCTCTCCGAGGCCGTTGGATGAGGCGGACTAGATGGGTGATTAGGGAAAGGGGACCCGATAACGGACAAGGGGCGAATAGGGCGAATCGTCTTGATCGGCCCTCTCGGGCCCAATGTGCAGGTAAAGCAGAGAGCCCAAGCATCCGGCGTCTAGAGAGCACCCAGAGGCCGATCTTCTCGAGCGTGGGCTTCTGAAAGGCCCGCTTCTGGCCGAGGGGCGGACAAGCAATGACAATGGCGGGAAGGTGATGAGGACGATTAGGCCGAAAGTTTTGGTGCGCACACGTTGACAGTTCAGGACGTTGAAGCTCTGGATTCCTAGGGAGGGGCCACGCATGGTAACACCTTGACTTGCGGGATGCAGTTTGAGCGGCATCCAGGCGTGCCAGTTCATGTTGGAATCATTTCTCGCCGTGTGGTCTGCTAACTGTTCAGTAACGACCTTACGGGTGATCGGAGAGGATCAAATCGTTTGCACGTCTATGTGCCCAATCAATACCCTTTCTCTTACCGTTCTATTGCCCCCAGGACGAGTCTGACGTGGACAGCAGCCTGAGCCAGACCCATGAGCGCCATCATCATCTCCTGCTTCGGTTCAATCACCTCCTCGTTGCCTCTCGCATGCGCACCCGGGATCAGGATGAGGGAAATGAGGATGATGAGAAGGAGTGGGAGGACGAGGAGAAGGAGGAGGAGAAGGAATGGGGGAGGATAACGACGAGGATATGTATTGGAAACTCATTGCGTAAGATAGGTGATAGGAGTCGATTCCACCTTGCCTTCACCCCCCTGGGCCCCCTTGCTTTGAATCCAATACCCAGCTGCCTGCGGCAAATCGCCACCGTTCCAGCCCAGCATTCTGGGTGGCCACGTTTCGAGGAGGCACGGAAAGCCGTCACGTGTGGCGTTTCGTGTCTCCAGGGTTAGGAGAGCCGTGATGTTGCTGCTGCTTCTTGTTGATGTGGATAGGGGACGCTCATAATAAGGATGGTGACGATGACGACGATGCTGATCACGATGCTGATGATGACGATACTGATGATGATGCTACTGATGATGTTGACGATGATGACGATGACGTTGACGATGACGATGAAGATGACGATGACGATGGTGATGATGGTGATGATGATGACGATGATGATGATGATGGTGATAATGCTGATGATGATGACGATGCTGATGGTGATGATGATGACGATTACGATGATGAGGAGGATGATGATGCTGGTGATGATGCTGATGGTGATGATGACGATGATGAGGGTGATGCTGATGATGCTGATGGTGATGATGCTGACGATGCTGGTGATGGTGATGATGACGATGATGATGGTGGTGCTGCTGATGCTGATGCTGATGCTGATGCTGATGCTGATGCTGATAATGCTGATAATGCTGATGCTGATGATGCTGATGATGATGATGATGATGATGCTGATGCTGATGCTGATGATGATGATGATGATGATGATGATGATGATGATGATGATGATGACGATGATGATGATGATGGTGATGGTGATGGTGATGGTGATGATGATGAGGATGCGGAGGGGAAGCAGGAGGAGGAGGAGGAGGACGACGACGAGGGCGAGGACGAGGGCGAGGGCGAGGATGAGGATGAGGATGTTGGTGTGACGATACGGGTGCGGATGGATGCTTTGGTGAGGGGGGGGAACAGCAACATGAGGAGGAGGAGGAGGAGCAGGAGGAGGAGAAGGGGCGCCGCCATGCGTGTCACCGTTTGGCTTCCCTGTTTGAGGAGCTCTTATGGAACTCGTTCGGGCAGCCTTGGGGGTGTCCTGGCTTCCTGTGGGGGCGATCTTTGGGGTCCCTTGAGGCCGTCTTGGGCCGTCGCAGTGGCCCTCTTACGCCGTCCTGGGGCTCGCTTGGGCCGCCTTGGGGCCCTCGTGGCCGTACGGTGGGTATTTGAGGGCCGTCGTGGGGCCGCTTCGGGGGGTCGAACTGCCTCAGCGGCATTCCAAGTCGGTCGTGTGTCCCACGGGAGGCTTTCGTGGGCCGTCGTATGGCCTTATTGTTTGCTTCTTGGGCCAGGCCATCGTGGGACTCTCCTGGGAGCCTCTTGGGCCGTCGTGAGCCGACGGAAGCCCGAAAAGGCGAGAGCGCGAACATCATTCGCAACACTTTGAGGGCAATCAATGGTGTCGGCTTCGTCGGACCCTTCTGGAGGTCCTCTTGTGGCCCATGTGGGCCCTACTGGAGGTATCTTGGGTCGTCTCGCGACCATCATGGGCTGCCCTGGGGCCATCTTGGGCCGTCTTCGAGGCATCGTTGGCCATCCTGGTGGCCGTGGTTGCCTGCATGGACCGTCTTGGAAGATCGGGGCGCTTACTTAGTGTTGTTTGTATGAGTGGTCGTGGCCTCGGGAGCGCGGATCCTTTGTTTTCAAGGATGGGTCGTCGCCTCAGGAAGGTTGGTGGTGCATGCGGAAAAACGCGTCCCTGATGGGGGTGCCCCTGGTTAGATACAGAAGCCCTACTAGGCAGCTCTTGGCGTTCTTCCACGCCTCAAGCGTGCACAAGGCACGGTGGCAGATGATCGTCTATTGGCGCTTCTCCTCCCCTTCTGTTGCCATGCTGATTGAGTAGACAGACGATCAAATGAGTTTCGCTTCGCGTAAACCCACCAGCCTATTCATAAACGCTGCCCGTGAGAGCTGACGGGCGATGAGAGGAAGAGACGCATATACGTAGTGAACCAACGCGGGCAACCGCGGTGAATTGAGGATGCGGAGGAGCATGGGGGGAGGAGGAGGAGCAGGAGGAGGAGGAGGAGGAGGAGGATGAGGAGGAGGAAACGGAGGAGGAGGAGGGGGACGAGGAGGAGGAGGAGGAGGAAAAGTAGGAGGAGGAGGATCTGGACGACGACGGGAGGAGGAGGAGGAGGAGGAGGAGGAGGAGGAGGAGGAGGAGGAGGAATAGGAAGAGGAGGACAAGTACGAGGAGGTCGACGAGGACAAGGACGAGGAGGATGACGAAGACGAGGACGATAAGGAGGAGGAGGAGGAGGACGAGGAAGAGGACGAAGACGAAAAGGATGACGAGGAGGTGGACAGCGAGGAGGAGAGGAGAACGAGGACGAGGACGAGGAGAAGGACGAGGATACCGGCAGCCATCTGGGGGTCTTCTTGAGGCCCTCTTGAGATCCTCTTGTGCCTCTCTCGGGGCTCTCTTTTTGGGCCCTCTGGGGTTTTTGTTGGGGGGTCTTGGGGGCTTGGAGTCCTCTTGGGGCTCTTTTGCGGGATTTTGGGCCCTCCTGGGACCCTCTTGGGGCCCTCTTTGGGCCCTCCTGGGAGTCCCAGAGTGCCTCCTGGGGCCATTTTGGAGGCCATCGATCGAAGAGGAGGCGGTCCCATATCTAGGTCCCCCCTTCTGAGGCTCTCAAAATCGCCTCTTGGGGCCATCGTGGGCCACTCTTCGGGCGCTACTGACCGTTTACAAAAGTTTCGCGTAAAATGCAAGCATCAGCATGCGCGTCTGCAGATTGAGGACCATAGCACGAGCAAGCGAGAGCGAGAGCGAGAGCATGAGCAAGCGAGAGCAAGCGAGAATGAGCGGGCCATAGGAAGCGAGCCAGAGCATGAGCAAGCGAGAGCATGATCATGATCATGATCATGAGCATGAGCATGAGCATGATCAAGCGAGGGTGAGTGGGTCATAGCAGAATGAGGAACCCCCGTTAGGTGCACGGGGCCCCGTACAATGTCATTGAACACGCCAGTACAGTAGTGTAGTTCGGCGGAACCGCAGGGGCGGGTATCTTTTCAGGTCCCTTCAGGCCCCTTACTATTATTATAATCGGCAAACGGCTTTGAAACCTGAAGATGCCACCGGGGTGTATTAATCAATACATTCGGAGCACTTCGGTGCTTTCAGGTCGACCTGAAAACTTTCAGGTTGGACCTGAAAATATGTTCCGGGTTGTTTCACCCGTTATTTTGCACACGGATGATACGTTCAGGTCGACCTGCACTTATCCAGGTCCAAAGGGTACCACGCGGTGTAAACGCCTGAAGACGTTACCAGGTTGTTTTATTTCACACACGCGTGGTACTTGGGCATTTTCAGGTCGACTTGACAGTTTTCCGGTCGGACCTGAAAATCACGCGGCATTCATTGGCATTGGTTTTTACAGTGAAGCCTTGTTCTAGTCGACCTGAACATTTTGAGATTCAATCGGCGCGCTCATCGGAAACCGCCACCAGACGATGTACGTCCATGCACGGGGGGGCGTCTGCGCAGTTTCGTCCTCCCTGAAAACCTTCGGGTTGGACCGCAATACCGTGTTCCGGGGTCGTGCATCAATTGTTTTTCATTCGGACAGCTTGTTGGGGTCGACCTGGACCTCCCTTCGGCCGACGAGGAAATCAGAGGCGCGAGACACGTGAAACCGATTTCCCGCGAGTGACGATGAGCTCGAGGGCCGACTTTCTTCCTTGATACTTTTCCGCGGAGATCCCGATCCACCATGGGACGAGGGCGCAACGGCGCCGCCATCGCCGCGTCGTCATCAACATCTCTGCGCATGTTCGCGACTTCCTAATTGGCGGCATTGAGATAGGAGGCGGGAGAAACACGACACCGAGTTCACTTGGGCGACACGGAGAATGGGGGCATGCGAAACACGTAACCGCTTTACAGACGGGGGTCCAAACCACGGCCCCCCAGAAACTCCACCGTCACCGCCACGAAGGTGATTGAGCCAAATTCGTTAAAATGTTTATAGATGCGATGTTTTGGGCGCTCTTGGGGCCGTCTCGGGGGTTCCTGGGCTCCTTTTGGGACTCTTTGGCCATATTGGGGCCATCTTGAGGCTTCAAAAGAGCATCGGGAGCGAAACGGCGAGACCGCAGACATTACACATTTTCTTTAGGTGTTTGAAGGATGTTGGCCTCTTGGGGGGGGTCCTGATGGGGGCCCCCAATGCACTTGGAACCGTCTTGCGGCCCTCTTGGGGCCTCTTGGAGCCATGCTGGAAGCCAGCTTGAGCGATCTTGCGCTATCTGGAGCCATCTTTGAGGCCATCTAAGAGCATCGGAGGCCTCGTGGAGCCATATTGGGCCATCTTGGACGCTCTAACCCCTTCTGGCCCCCCCAAAACAACCTCAGGGAGGGGAGGGGGAGGGTGCCCCTCTGCGAAGGGATGAGGGTTTCGGAAGAGGGAAGACAGATGTCGTTTGGCCACCTAGGCCCGAGGGACTGGTGGGATTGCTTCGCTTTGGGTGTTCGCTCTGATTTTGTTAGCTATCTCCTCGTCTGGTATCCTTGTTCTTATTCGAACGCCTCCACTCCCAATTCTCACGCCTCAAACCCGCCTCCACCGTACATCACACCCGCTCAGATTCAGACTCAGATTCACTCACACTCAGCCTCACTCATACTCAAACTCACTCACGCTCAGACTCACTCACACTCAGGCTCATTCATCTTCCGACTCATACCTACTCCTACACATACGTTGTGCCATTCATATTCATGTTCGTTCAGAGTCTCTGCGATATAGCAGGCGTAGCATCATATTTACCATGCTCACACGTTGGCCGAATGCTCACCGCGATACAGCTGGCGTCATATTCGGGCACCCCACATGGGCGCCGCCAGGGATTATCTCCCTCCCCCGTTCGCGCCCAGGTTGTGGAGATGTCTCAGGTGGCTTGCCTGTTGAACTGTCCAGGCTCGTGTGCGTTCATAGCAGATATGTGAGGATGTCTCAGGCGAAGCACTGGTTTCAGCATCCCAAGGGGGAACCGCCAGGGGGTATCTCACTCCTCCGCTCGCGCCCAGGTTGTGGGGATGCCTCATGCGGTTTGCCTGTTGTGGTGGCCATATTCGTCTGCGTTCATAGCAGATTGTGAGGATATCTCAGGCGAAGCACTGGTTTATCACCCCAATGGGGAGCCGCCCGGGGGTATCGCATTCCTCCGTTCGCGCCCAGGTTGTGGGGATGTCTCAGGCGGTCTGTATGTTTTGCTGCCAGTCTCGTGTGCGTTCATAGCAGATTGCGAGGATATCTCAGGCAAGGCGCTGGCTTCAGCACCCCAAGGGGAGCCGCCAGGTGTATCTCATTCTTCCGTTCGCGCCCAGTTTGTGGGGATGTCTGATGCGGTTTGCCTGTTGTGGTGGCCAGACTCGTCTGCGTTCAGAGCAGATTGCGAGGATGTCTCAGGCGAAGCGCTGGTTTCAGCACCCCAAGGGGGGGTAGGCGCCAGGGGATATCTCGTTCTTTCGTTCGCCCCTAGGTTGTGGTGATGTCCTCCGCAGATCTGCGAAGTATGTCGACAGCACCCGAATCCTTCAGAGAACGTCCACCATCGTGCGAAGTCCTCCAACATCTTTGGAAGCCCTGCGAAGTCCTCCGATGTGCCTCCGGGAGGAGTACTCCCAGCTCATCAGCCAGTGGTCTGACGACAACCGCAGCCTCGTGAAGCCCGGCTGCCTGGAAGCCTGCGAGGCCGCGAAGGCGCAGTGCAAGGAAAAGGCGCGAGCGCGCTGCGACTGCCTCGCTGTCCTCCCCACCTGGCTCGCCCTACGCTCTTCCAGTGCGCACCAAGGGTCTCGCTTTGTACGTGATTTATCTGGGACCCCCAATGCAAGCGCGGTGGGCGCAGCTCTCGTGTTTTGCAGTTTAGGTCGTGGCCTCGCGACTACAACGGTCGGCCTGACCCAACGCGCTCTTGTGATGGAGGACTCCCTGCTGCTGCGGGCTGTATCTCCCTCCCCTCCCTTCCCATCCAGATTGTTCTCCGTCGCTCCCTCACCCTCGCGTTTTTCCATGTCACCCCCAAATGTGTTGGCAGGGCGGGGTGAGCATTTCGCTTGACATGTCTTCATTACTCATGACCCTGAAGTTTGGAACGTGCAAACGTTTTAAGGATGGAGGGTGGGCGATTTTCAACAAGCAGCTCCCGCCATGAAATCGCGCACATGTTGTTCAAAAGTTCGGCACCAGCTTCGAGGATGGATGACAGGTCGCTTTCAAAACGCGGCTCTTGCCACAGCGCCGCGCACATTCTCTTTCAAAGTCTGCAGCAACTTCCAGGATGGAGGGCGGGTGGTTTTCAAAATGTTGCTCTCGTCGCAGCGCCGCGCACACTCGTCTTTTAACAGTTTGCAACAGGTTCAAGGATGAAGGACAGATCGTTTTCAAAATGTGGCTCTCCCCACAGCTCTGCGCACATGTGTCCCAAGAGTTGTGGTTAGGCACGATGCAGGATCGTTGGGACGTAACCAGGAATGGTGTTCTGGCAAGATCTAGGAGTATCAGGGCGCAGGGGTAAACTGGACTCGCGCCGCTGAAATCCGTGGAATGGTCTTATGGCTCGACTGAGGAATCTCGGACGGTCGTCTTCCAATGGTGCGCCTATGGAAACGGACCTTAGAGGGAGGTTGCATTGCAACATTCGATGTGTCTTGGATTTGCATTGGTCCTCCTCCGCTTCCTCCTTCTGCTCCTGCTCCTGCTCCTGCTCCTCCTCCTCCTCCTCCTCCTCCTCCTCCTCCTCCTCTTCCTCTCGGATGAACCCGTTTGGGCACGCTCAACCTCATCCTCTTCCTCCTTCCTCGTCCTCCTCCTCCCTCCTCCTCCCTCCTCCTCCTCCTCCTCCTCCTTCTCCTCCTCCTTCTGCTCCTCCTCCTCATTATCCTCCACCTCCTTCTCCTCCTCCTCCTCCTCCTCCTCCTCTCCTTCTCTTCCTCCTCCGTCTCCCCTTGCCCTTCTCCCTCTCTCTCTCTCACAGTTTCCTCTCCATGTTCATTGTCCTTTGTCTTGCCCCTTCCCCTTGCGTTCCTGCTGCTCCTAGTCTTGCTCTGGAGGAGCGTTGATTCCTGCTTCCACGACTGAGCTTTTTCGTTATTCCTATCCCCCTCCCCTCCTCAACTTTGTGCTCCCCCTGCTTCTCCTGCTCCTCCTTCTCCCATCCCCCTATCTCCATCACCCGCCTCCTGCCCCTGCTATACCCGTCCCCATCCTCCGCCCCCTGTCTTCATCCCCCCCCTCCCTCTATCACGCTCCCTTTACCTTACCCCCTCCTCTTCCTCCTCCTGTCCCTCCTCACGCTTCCCTCCTCCTCCTCCTCCTCCTCATCATCCTTTTCCTCCTCGTCCTCCTCCTCGTGTTCCTCTTCCTCCTCTTCGCCCTCCTCCCTGATCTTTCCTCCTCCCCCTCTTTTGCCTAGTCCCCCTCTCCTTCCCTCCTTTCTGGCGCACGCCCCAGCCGGACCCCCCGAGAGGCGTGCGACGGCGTGGAGCTGCAGGACAGGCGCTGGCCTCTCCTTTTGTGATACTGGAGTCCTCCGTCCTCTCCCTCCTCCCCGTCATCCTCCCCCTCGTGCTTTCTCAAGCCGCTTGGGCTCGAGCTGGGGAGGCGGATGCCTGGGGGGTTCTGCACACATCCTTCCACACGAGTCCTTCCCTGTACCTAAGAGTGGTGCTGTACGTTCACTCGTGATACTGCCAACTGCACGAGTGTCCGCGAAAACAGGGATGACGCCGCCGACACACAGATCCAGGCCGTGGACGAGGTGCGGCAATTGCCAGAGATGTGAGTACAACGAGAAGACTCGTGCCAACGGTATGGAATGCCAGCATTGCGATTTCAAGATCAAGAAGCTGTTCAAACCTCACGGTCCTGAGCGTCACTTTCGTTTCGAGAGTGATTCACTTTGTGAGTGTAGCAGTGCCTGCAGCACGGGCTCTCGCTCTCGGGCGAAGGGACGCATGAAGGAGGAACTGGCAACCAAGCAGTTGGACGACCTGTTGGAGAAGGCCCTGCGCAAAACGCAGGATGAGGATATGAGAAAATCGCTGGAGGCCAAGCGCCGCCGCCTTGCTACGCTTCCCGCTGCGTCGGCAAAGACGGCTGCGGAGTCGGTCAAGCGAGCCAACGGAGCATGGCGGGCGGCCAGCCACAAGCACGTGCAGTCAGTGGCGCAGGTGCTCAGGCTGAGGGCCCAGCCTCAGACCGCGGAGGCCAAGGGGCAGGCCGCCGCCAAGAAGCTGGCGCTCGAGGAGCGCATGAAGAAGTACGCGGCTGCTGTCCTGGCCAGGGCAGGGGCAGAAGACTTGCCTGGCCCCAGCACGGCGAACGCCGGTGCAGGAAGCGCAAGAGGCGCGCAGCCGTTGATCAGCATCCAGATGGATTCGGAGGTGTCCGACAAGTTCGAGGAAAGGGATCGCGAGGGGAGCGACAAGCAGGCGCTGCGCCAGCTCAAGACAGAGTTGGAAACGTGGAAGCAGAGTTTCGAGTCCAAGGATGCGGAGCTCAATATCTTCCTGGACAAGGTCGCCAAAGCAGACAATGGGGTCCCGGACAGGATGAGCAAGAAGCGCAAGACAGCCGCCGCGGGACCAGGTGCCGCAGGAGTTGGAGACCGGCAAGCACGTGACGATGGAGCTGCAGGTGGCGCAGGTGCTGCGAGCTCAGCCGAGGAGACCGCCAAACCGAAGCCGTCCGAGGAGGAGCAGAAGGCGGAGGCCGAGCGCATCCCCCAGGCGAGGTCGGCGGCGGCCAAAGCCTCGGGCAAGGGCGCGACCCCTGAGAAGGCCGCGGCCAACTCGAGCGGCGCATCGTCGGCCAGTGCAAGAGGCAATGACGAATGACTACGCGCGTGGGGAAGCAGAGCGTTAGCAAGTGGTTAGCGCGAGCCCGACAGGTATCACTGCAGTTGTTCGCGAATCCCGCTCGGCCAGAAGTCCGAGTGGATCAAGACCGACGCGCAGACCGACAGCAACAGCAACGAGGGCGTCGAGCGGCTGCCTGCCCACTCGGAGTCATAGGCCAGTTCGACTTCTGTTCGAAGCGAGAGCTGCCACAGGGCCCCAGGTGGAGCGAGGCAACATGCGCGACGGTTTCGCGCCGTGCATCGTTCACATGAGAGGTTTTTCGTTGGCAGCCTTTGCTTCTATGGGCATGCAGGCGTTGGATTTCGCGATGCAAGCGTTGTCCGCTGCAGGAGTATCGGCCGCCCCTTCCGGCCCTTGCAGCTTCCATGGATCGCGGCAGCAGACTCGAAAATTGCGCCGGAAGGAATTGCGCGTTCAGGCTGGCTCGAGCGAGTCGACGGGCAGATCGCGCGCTCGAATGCTCAGTGCGTGCGCGCCTGCTGGAGGGATGACGCCCAGTCATTCGGATTATTCGATTAAGAGTCATTCTGCGCGCGCACGTCGCGTCTTGCCCGCCACTGCCGCGCCGCGGAAACCTCGCGTCAGAACCAAGGGCGATTTCGAGGTCGGGGGCCGCGCAGGCATTATCAGTTTTCCCCGAGGCTCGGCCCAGATGCAAATCAGGCTGAAGATGACGGCGGGCCGGGCCTTGGCCCCGACCCCCCCTCCTCCCCGCGCCCAACCCCCGGCCCTCGGCGACGCGGGCGCCCGCTGCGAGGACGGGGGCGAACCCGTCTGCTTAGGCGACGAGCGGGGCGGCCACTCGGAGGGCGACCCGCGGGCGGACGAGGCCGTTTTCAGGCCCGCCGCCCAGCCTTCCTTTGTCGGCAGCGAAGCCAGCCATGCAGCCCCGCAGTCAAGTAGAGCTAATTCAGTTCCGCGCGGGTCGATGGACCCCCCGACCCTAGCCGCCCGGGGGCTGTCCTCGGAGGGGCCAGCCCGGCCGTCAGATGCGCGAGAGCGGCGGCCTGCCTTTCGCGCCCCTAGCAGCGCGTGGATTGAGCGAAGGTCGAGCGTTGGATTTACTCCCGTCCCCCCCTTGCCCTCCTGCGCCCGCGATCGCGCGCGCCGCGGTCTGCCGCTCCGGCCCCGGCGCGTCGGCTGCGTCGAGCGCCCTGCGCGCCAGCTGGATTCGCGCAGGCAAGCCCCCTGCGCGCACTCACCACAAGCAGGTGTTCTTTGGAGCGTCGCGAGGAGAGGCGCACCAGTGCCAGGTGGCTTGCGTTCGTCGGGCCACGCCTTCTCGAGTCGCACCTCTTCGCGATAGAGTATGAGTTGGCCAGTCTCAGTCAGAGGCGGGCCATTGGGCAAGCCATGGGCGAATTGTGAGAGCGGGCGGAGACGGCGCTAGCACCCGGCATACTTCGCAAAAAGCTAAAGGATCCCATGTCCGAGGTGCAGGATGTCATCGTCGACGGCCAGGCCACGCTGCGCCCGCGAGACGCCCGCGACCGCGAGAGTCGGGGGCGGGGGAAGTCTTGGGCGCCATCTCCCTTGTCCAAGGATGGAGAGTATGTAGAGGTGGCCGATCATGAGAGTTTGTTTTGTGATACTCGCGAGAGGGTTCGACGCGAGTCCTGTCTACCCGTCGCGGTTGAGGATTTGCGGGGCGCCCCGATTAAGATCGGGGCGACGGCGGCTGCAGGAGTGGAACGCTTGAGTTCGCATGATCTCCTCCGCCTTCTGCGGAGGCGCTGCAGGCGATGGCGACCTTGCTCGGAGTGCGCGAGGCCCCCCCAATCGCGGCCGCATCAAGTTCCCATCGCGAAGGCATTTTTTTTGCACGGAAAGGTTCAGGAGATCTGAGAATTGGGCTGCTGCCGCGTCTGTCCAGTTCGCGGTCGCAAGCTCGCGAGCCATCTGCGAAGCGATGCGCCGCCGAGCGCGAAGTCCATTGGGGTGCTGCCATCAAGAACGCCGCCGCGATTAGAGAGGTGTTTCTTCGAACTATAGATGAGGAGTTGGCGGCGAGGCCCCAGGTCAATCGCGGCAGAAGCCTACTCGACATTGGCCAGTTCTACGGCTCCATCGGTTGACTCATGGTCGGTAGAGTTGCGATGCAGCTCGGCTTCCCCGCGGAGGTCCTAGGCCTAGAGCTGCTGCAGTGCATGGCGGCTCGGTGCCTGCGGCAGTCGGGCGCATGCTCGCAGCCTTTTGCACCGCTGCGCTCGGTGGTGCAAGGCCTCCGCGGAGGCACCAGGTTTTCCAAGTGCCGCGCGCCACAACATGCAGAAGCTGACGACGGATCGACGACCACAGCCAGTCGATCAAGAGCACCAGAGAGACGATGCGCAACAAGCTCGTGATATGCCTGGTCGACGCGCGTCGTTCAATGTAGCGTGCTAGGCTTTCTATGTCACCCAAAAGTGTTGTTGCGCGTTGCAAGGCGAGTGCAAGCACGCGTTGTTTTCCTTGTGCGCGCGGTGCCACAGGCGCCATGCTTGGGGGCGGACCTCGAAGGCGGTTCTCGGCGTGCGCGCGCATGTCGGTCCGCGCGACAGGCCAGACGCAATGCCATGCACAGGCGCGTTGTCGAAGATGTCCGCGCGACCCGACGACGCGGCCTCGCATCGAGGCTGGGGCAGCAGGGGGCGCGGGCGGCAGTGGCCTACGGGCACCAGCTGCACGTGCATTCAAAGATACGATGACACAATATAGCAGGACATTGGAACATGCACTCGGACCTCGGATGGCAGGACGCCGTTTGACCGCGCTCGTCGATCTCAGAGCTGCAGGTAGGGGCCCCGCGTGCAAGCTACCGGGAGAATGTTTGTGATTGTGGTTGTCTTGTTGGGTCCGTCAGGCGAGCATTCGGGATGGCATCGCGCGAACATGGCCTGCTCTTGCCCGTGAGCTTGTATCAACCCCACAGGCAGGTCTTGAAGGTGGAGTTTGGAATCGGCCATGTCGAAGGATACTCGAGTAGCTGGAGGGGGCCCCAGGAGGACGCAGACTCGCAGGCATCATGCCGGCGATCGCTGTTGGGGCCACATGGCCACGGACAAGTCGGCAGGAACGCTCCAAGCATGAGGTGTCGCAGGATTGCTTGCGTTATCGGGGGCATCGGGAGACTGCCTTTGATCGCGCGAGGGCCTGCGCGCGCCGGGCTCGGCATGGCGCGCATGAGTTGACGCGGGAGCTCGTCGGGGGAGCCCACGTTCAGGGGGAGGCGGGCACCTGCGTCTAGGCGAGAGGCCTCATCCCAGCAGCATGCGTTGCAGTGAAGGCTCCACAGAGCGTCGAGTCCTGGGGCACGACGGGCGAGGAGCTCGCCGACGGCTGCTTTGGGGAGGGCACGCAGGAGCACCCCATGCACGTATTTGGGGGCGCCAGCGACAGTCCCGAGACCAGGAACCTCACCCTGCGACGCTCGGGGCGCGGCCTCGCTTGCTGTCGCGACCTCTGCGAGGACATGGAGCTGTCTCTGGGAGTTTTTGTGGGGGGGAAGGGGGGGGGGGGGGGCTACCTGGGCCGCGCCAGACGGTTGCTGGGGGGAGCAGCTAGCTTTTTTTGTCCGCTGCGCGACTGCAGGGGCCGCGTGATATACGCCGCGGACAGTGGGAGTATCATCATCGGCTGGTACCACCAGCGTTATAATCAGCCAGGAGTACCAGAGAGTGACTCGCGGCGGCAGATCGTCGCGCACCTCGCCGACCATCCTGAGAAGCAGTGAGTGCACGATGCTCTTCGCCCGCTCGCACCTCGAGGACTTGCTTCGGGCGCGCTACAGGGCAAGACGCCCTAGCTGCTGGCCTCGGGCAACGACATGGCCGAGGACTTCGCCGCAAGGCCTCTCTTGTCAGAGTGAAGATTCTCCAGTGCACAAGTGGGTCCTTGGCCGTTGAGCAAGAGCAGGAGAAGGGTCGAGGTGGGAAAGCAGCCCACCGTGCCCAACCTGGGCCTCCCGCTCCGTCTGTCTGCGCCTTTTTCTCGTCCCAGCACGTGATCTGTGACACCAATGACAGTAGATGTAGGAGGTGCAAGGGCACCGCCACCGAAGCTACGCGTAAGGACTGGCTAACATCCTCGTTCTTTGAGCCCGTTAATGTGGACGGTGTTCGGTTGAAAACCTCCCGCTGGGCAGCGGGAGCATATCGCTGGGAGTTTTCCCGATCCGAACCAGACGTTGAAACATCACGCGAGACTGGGAGTCTGGTCCTGTTGAGCGTGCGGGTTCCATGCAGCTCAGGAGCTTGAAGAACCAGCAAAGCTGTGTGCTTATAGGGTTGAGGGTAGTCGCGCCGATTACCTCGCTCGGATATCCGAGGGCCTCTGGCTTAAAGTCCTCAGGAAAGCTGAGCTAGCCAAGAAGCAGAAATCCAACGTTTAGGTTTTCTTTCCCCGACATGGTCGCCACGCCCAGAAATCCAGAACTCCCCCTCGTCCATTCCCCATCACCCCGAGCGGCGACGACGATGAGCCGAGGCGGTCGCCCGCGCTGCCACCGTGTTTCTAGCAGGCGTGTGTTCCCGGCCACCCTCGCGGACAGAGGGCTGATCTGCCAGACAGCCTTGAGGCACGCAGGGATGCCGCTGGCTGTGCCACGAGCTGTCTTCCCTGCGCGAATAGAGGCTTGACTTGTGTCGTCGTTCGCGAGCGGTGCCCCCAGCCATGCCGCCGTTCGACGACGACTGCCCCCCCTCCTCCCCCTGGTATGCCTCCCTTCCGTAACAGTCTTGGCTCAATGCAAGGTTCGTGGTTCCTTGAGGGCCCAGGAGATACATGCCGCTGATCCGCGGCCAGTCAGTCTTCGTTTTCGCCAGGCCCGCCTCTGAACTTCAAGCGCAATGATCTCAGACCTGCATGTAAGGTTCCAGGCCAAAGCCATGGTCCCTCACACGCCGCGAAGTCGGCCGTCCGGTGCCCGGACAGCCTCTGGCTGAGGGAAGCGGTTTCTCCCAGGCTGGGCGTCAAGCGGCGCGAGCCCGAGCTGGGAGTCTGTTCGCGAGCCTTGGCCTGGCATCGCTCGGACGTGTGCATTTTCCCTTCGGCGAGGACCACAGAGGAGCATCCTTGACCATTTGGCGAAAAAACCACGCACGAAGCCGAAAAAAACAGGGAATGGACGTCCGAGCGATGGCCAGTTGGTGCCGTCAGGGAAGCGGCGGCGCGGGCAGGCCCGTGTCCTCGGATGCAGTTTGTCGAGTCGCCGGCGGCTGCCTGCCAGCGTCGGCGCGGGGCGCCGTGCCTGCCCGGCGATGGAGAAGCCGTGGAGCGGCAGGCCACGTGCGAGGGCTGCTGTGCCATGCTCTCGGACTGGAAGGTCTGCGTGCGTGCCGCTGCTGTTTGTCACCACCCACCAAACCACCCCAACCCAACCCGAAGGTTTCGATTTTAACTCCATGCCCTGGTCTGAGCCGGTCGACGGCGCAGCTTACGAGGCCCTTTGCTGACACGGCGAAGGGCCACAAAGGAACAGTTCAGAACTCGATGTTCAGGCAAAATCAAGACGCACACCGAAATTGACAATGTGGCGGGTGCCGAGGTTACATTGAAACTGCGGGTTCTCTTCGGCGGGAAATAATTGATTCTGGCGGAGGCTGGCGGAACCATGCCGTCCTGTTGCCACGGTTGGCTTGATCCACCTCAATCTCGTGGCGCGCGGTATCTGGGCTGGGCACTAACCACGAAGTGATCATTCGAAAACATTCAGGACGCTGTCCACACACGGGTTAATCAAAAAGCTTGTTCCTCCCCTTTTTACCCCCTCTCCTCCTCCTCGTGAGCATCATCCTCGACTGAGCCAGACAATGACTTAGACGGCTGATGAAGATTCGTGTCGGGCGGCGAGGGAGGCGTCGACGTCGTGGGGTGTCGGATTTTGTTGCACTGATCGGTGGGACGCGGTGGGCTCGCTCGTCCGAGCGTGGGCTCAGCGCGCGATGGATCTCGCCGCGGAAGCGGACTCTGGAGCGCCGAGAGGCCGCCTGAGGAAAGGCGGCCTCCCCCCAACGCGCTCGCGCGCGCCATCTCGTCTTCTGATCACTCCTTTTGTGTTGTCTGCCAGCAAGTATATGTGTGAGTGTGGTGCTATTGTTGCCCCGGTGTCACGTACCCTGGAGGCTGCCAGGCTGTCTTGCCAAGGCTTCCGCAAGGATCGGGAGATCTCCGCGGGGGGTGCAGATTGGGTGGCTGCTGGCAAGTTCGTGCGCTCATCTCCCAGTCCCCAGGTCTGGGACAAGTTTAGTTTCGCGTGTTGTGTGACTTGCGGAAGGTCCGCCGCACTTGATGGTGGACACCTGGAAAAAGCGTGCGAGCCCATCCCCCCGTAAGGGCAGAGATAGTCTCGCACGCGTCAATACAGTGGAGGCGTTTGTTAAGGAATAGTCCCTGGAGGCGCCAGACCCTGGAGGATTCCTTATCCAATGAGGGCGGCGGTGACACCCACGGCCACTTCACGATTGGAGTTCCGCGGGCTTCCAGACCCTGGATCCCTTATCCAGTGAATATTTATGCAATGCCCTCACCGTAAGGGCTTGTATCCGAGGCGGGAGGGTATGCCAGCGCAGTTGCAAGCTATGCTGGTACGCCGTGGCCTCGGCCAGCCCTCCTTTTTGTTCCCCCGCGCCTCCGGCGCTTAGCCGAGCAGTTCGGATAGTGATTCCTCCTCCTACTCCTCCTGATCCTCCTGACCCTCCTCCTTCTGCTCCTCCTCCTCCTCCCTCAATTCTCCACTCGACCCCTCCCCCTGTGCTGCTGTCCCCCCTTTCGCCTACCCCGGGAAGGTAAAACAGCGGTTCTCGAGGCGCCTTCGTCGCTTCTGCGGGATCCGATGCTGAGGTTGGCACTCGACGCGCGGGCCTCCGCTGCCGGGGCGGCGGCATGGCCCCCCCCCTTCGAGAGCCAGCCGAGAAAAGTGAGCGAGCGGGAGCGAGAGAGATAGAGGGAGAGGGAGGGAGAGGGAGAGAAAGAGAGAGAGAGAGAGAGATAAGCAACAATAAAGCAGATAGCAACAAATGGGGGGAGGCGGAGGACCTCTACGAACGATGCAGGAGCAGTCGAATGGGCAGGAGCACGACAGGAAGAGAGAGAGAGAGAGAACAAAAAAACCAAAGAGAGAGAGAGAGAGAGAATCAAAAAAAAAAAACAAAAAAAAAAAAAAAAAAAAAAAAAAAAAAAAAAAAAAAAAAAAAAAAAAAAACAAAAAAAAAAAAAAAAACTCAGAGACAGTGAGAGATCTAGAGAGAGAGAGAGAGGTGGCACGATCAGAGCTGCGAGCCCCGGGAGGGCTCCGCGAAAAGCCGCCGCGAGGAGCCACCGTTCAAGCAGTGCTCGCCCCCGGGGGCCGAGAGGCGCTGCCGCCGCCGCACCGCCCCCCATCCCGCCCCGCCTTTCCCCCCGCTCACAGAAGAGGGATCGTAGGAGAAGGAATAGGAAGAGGAGGAGGAGGAAGAGGGGGAGGAGGGAGTAGGGAGGAGGAGGATGGAGGAGCAGGAGGACGTACCTGCCACCTCCTCCGCTTCCTCCTGCTTCGTGGAGAGCCGGCGCGGTTTTGGAGGCCCACAAGCGCGCGTGGCCCGCTTTTGTCCCCGCAGCCACCGCGGAGCCTCCGCAGGCCCAGCCCGAGCTTCGACCTTGGTGGGCGTCGGGTGCTGTGGGTCAGGCCAAGGTCGGAGGTTGATATCACTGACTCAATAACAGACGCCCGATCCCAAAAACGCGGGGGCCAAGACGAAACGCAGACACCTCGAGACTTCGGGGAGGGAGATTTTTGGGACACGTCGATTAGCGAATTGGCCGTTTCGCTTCGCGAAAGGGAGGTTTGTCCACCGCCGACAGGAGGCCGTGCCAACCAAAAGTCGGGCCCAGAATGTGCCTGCGGACTTCGGGTGGTGGTGGTTCTTCGAGATGCACAGCTCAGCGGTACGGCGCTGCGCGCCCCTCCTCGTAGTCGGGCGCCTTCGTCTCTGTCTTTTGTCTCTGTCTGTCTCTCTCTCTCTCTCTCTCTCTCTCTCTCCCTGTCCCACGACTACCATATCTCATGGCAAGCATTGCCCTAACTAGGGTTGGCCGAAGGGGGTTGCCTGGGAGGGTTGGCCAGATTCTTGGGGCTTGGACGGGAGGGTTGGCCGGACCCGCTGTTCCAGGTGAAGTTCGCGCCATCGCAAAATCGATGTAATGTCTCCATTGTGCGCAATGGTGTCGAATCCCTGTCCCAATGGATGTAACACATTCCACTGGACGCAATCGTTTAGAATCTCTGTCCCGAGGTTCGTCCTCGTCTCCGTCGTGGTCATATTCCTTCGCTTCCTCCTGCTGGAATGTCTTCTTTCGTAGTCCCATCGTTGGGCATGCGCAGAGGCTGTCTTTGTAGCAGCTCCCTAGCTACAGGTACCCTCAGCTGGTGTCCCACCCGCGCCCTATCCGTGGCCCTCCCGCGGGCCCCTCGAGCGTGCTGGTTCGACACATCCACCGCTGCTGCCAAACAACTCACTCCCAGTGTGCCAACTCGGGCGCACATCGCGTTGCCAGCGTTGGTGGCAGGAAGCTCGAACCGAGCAAGCCGCCTCATTCTCGGTGCACATCGCGTTACAAGCGTTGCCAGAGGAAGCTCACTCCGAGGGTGCCGACTCGCTCTCGGCGCACATCGCGCTGCCAGCGTTGCCAGCAAGAGGTGTCTTCCGAGCGTGCCGTCTATGTCCTCGTGAGCTTCCTTTTGCGAGCGGTGTTGGCAGCCAGTTCATTCGAAGTTCGCTCCGAGGGTGCGGGCTCGCGTCCGACAGCAGGAGGAGTTCAGATGCAGTTGGCGTGAAGACCAGCCCGAGCGTGCTGGCTCGCTTTTTGGCACACTTCGAGCAGCCAGCGTTCTTGCCAGAGTTCTCCTTGCGAGCGTGCCGGAAGTGCCGCTGCGAATGCACTGAATTTCTCCTCCTTCGCGTCGTGCTCCTCCTGCCGCTGTTCTCGTTCCTCCTTCTCTTTGTCTTCTCGCGTGTTGGCCCACGGGGCAGCTGCGCCGAAAGGTCGCAGCTGCGCCAAAGCAGAAAATCCAGGGGGCTTGGCCGCGGGATGATTTCGGGGTTGGTTGAGGGTTGGTTAGGGATTGGGTGGGCTCAACTTCCACTCCTCACCCCTTCCTCCACCCCGTCCCTCCCTTGTCTTTTTGGGGGAGGACGAGGCGGGCGGAGGAGGAGGAATAGGAGGGAAACAATGTACGAGAGAATGAGGATGAGTGGACGAGAGGAGGGCGAGGAGGAGGAGGGAGGAGGAGGGGGGAGGGTGAAGGTGGAGGGGACGGAGGGGAGGGGAGGATTGGGATGTGGAGGAGGCAGAGAGGAACGAGGAGGAGGAGGAGGAGCAGGAGGAGGAGGAGGAAGACGAGGAGGGGGATAGAGAAAGAGAAGGCAAAAAAAAGGAGGAGGAGGAGGAGGAGGAGGAGGAGGAGGAGGAATCACCAATGCGTATAGGGCCAACCTGGGCCCCCCCCTCTCATACAGGCGAGGGGGCCTTTGCAGAGGCGCCCGCGCCTCACCGGCCTTCCCCCCTTCCCTCTGGCTTTCTCCTCTCCTCCGATGTCTCCTGCTCCTCCACCTCTTCTCGCCCTCGCCCCAGGGGCATCTCTTCCCGAGGGTTGGGGCTTGCGCCCCCCCTTGCCCTCGGGACACTGCGCCCTGTCATCCGAGTCCGAACCCCCTATGGGCATCTCTTGTCTGAGCTCCGCCCCGCGCTGGCGTGCCCACTCTCGGGGGGAGCGGCTTCCTGGACGTCCCCGGCGAGGCTGCCCCCCACCGTGTGCGCAGGAGGCGGCGGCTCCTCGCGCCGCGCGCGCTAGGCAGGCGGCGGTGCCCCCTTTTGAAAAGGAAGCTTGGCTCAAGTCGGGCGTGTCCCTCCACAGGAGGAATACTCGAGAACAGTGGGGACGTTTTTTTGTTGAGTTTGTTCAACCATTCTGGAGCATGTCTTGACGATCTTGTATTTTGTTCGGCCAGAATCCCCCTGTTGGAGGACAGGCCCGACCTGAAGCTTGGAGTCCCGAGCTCGTCACCGCTTCGAGGTTCGGGGCTCAAGAGACGGTGGTCGGTGCGAGCGGGGGTCAGTCAGAGCATCGGATTGTGCAGGATCCTGCAGAGCCAGGGGCGCTCCGACCAGGGTTTGGGTGCAGGCTCCGGCAGGACCCTGCAGGATCCTGTAAGCCTCAGGTCGGGCATGTCCTCCTGCAGGGGGATTTTGGACGAAAAATAATCAAAACATATTCAAAAGAAGGTAGCAAAAATATTCGAAAAATCGTCCCCATCTTATTTTTTGACAATTCTTGAATCCTCCTGTAGAGGGACACGCCCGACTTATTGTGAGGCCTGACTGACCCGGGTTTTCGTTGACCCGGGTCAGAAGATTCCCGAGAGATGATGCGCGGGTGTTGTCTCGGCCACGTATGTCTAGACTTCCTAGATGGGGCCGGAGTAGATGGGGTCGGAGGATCGCGCCGCATCGGCGATGCATCGGCGATGCGGCTCGATGTGGAGCCCGATTTGTTTCACATCGACGTCGCCGATGCATCGCCCACGTCGACGATGCATCGCCAGTGCATTGCCGATGCATCGCCGATGTATCGGCGATGCGGCGCGATCCCCCGACCCCATCTACTCCTACCCCATCTAGGAGGCCTCTAGCATTCTCGTTGGTTGTGAGGCCGCCTTTTGGGGGGCCTAGAGTCGGGAGCGCGTCACCACTCATGGCAGGCACGCGGGTGTCATCTCAGCCACGTCACGCATCTCGTTCTGACCGGGAGTCGGGAGTTCGTCACCACTCAGAGCAGACGCGCGCGCGTGTGTGTGTGTGTGTTTTCTATGTTTGCGTCGTTCATCCTGATGTTTCTCGACAGCTGAGCAGCATGAGAAAACGCCTTCCAGTCTTGGCTCGGAGTTGGGATGTTGCCACGTCTTTGTGGCTAAAACGGCATCACACAGTACTCCCCGCAGTCCCCTTCTCTACTCTTGATTACTCCAGGCTATTACAGTTTTGCTGTGTTCCGCGGTGGAGCGTGTCCACCTATTGCATGAACTCCAAGCTAATTTCTTGGTTGTGTCTGTTTTTGATCCTTTCCAAGCGCGCCAGGACCTTGGTAGAGCCACCGTCTTGAGTGATATGAGTGTCTCTACACAAGCCATAAGTTGCCGCCGCATGTTTTCAAACGCCTTCTTCTCCTCCCGCCTCCGCCCCCTTGCAACCCGCGTGTTTGGCCATTGCTGTTCAGCGATTCGCGCGTCAGTGCAGTCCGTGACGGGCTGTGGGTTTTTCCGTCGACGGTCGTCTATGTTCGCTTGCCTTAGCCAGGACTTGCGTCGCCACCAGGCTGGTGCCACCTCGCCATCTCGCGTTCCTCAGTGCTCGGTGGGCCGGCCCGCTGCTGTCGGGTCGGCTCGAAGCTTCGCGAGCGTGTCGGCTCCGTTCCAGCGCACTTCGCGCTGCCAGCGCTGCTGCCAGGACGCGCGCTTCAGGCGTGCCGGCCCGCGGGCCATCGCACGGCGCACTGCCAGCGCTGTCCGCGGGAAGCTCTGTCCGAGCGTGCCGGCTGGCTCACGGCGCACGTCGCACGGCGGGCAGTGTGGCCAAGGATCTGGCCTGGAAGCGCGCTCCAAGCGTGCCCGCTCGCACTCGATGGCCAACGCGCTGCCGGCGTCAATGCTGGGAATCTCGTTTTCCAGTGTGCCCGCTCGTGCCAGCTCGCATTGCGTTGCCGAGAAGGGTCGGAAGGGGTTTGGCCGGGGAGCTGTCTGGGGTAATTCTTCGATCGGTAGTTCTTTCCATAACGCAAAGTGCCACAACGAGCTCCGCACCAGAGGCGCGCCGCGAGAGCAACAAATGCCAGCCACCAGGCACGGCAAGCCTCCAGTTTTCCAGGGCGGCTACGCTGCTCCGCTCGTCAGCCCAGAGCACGGGGCCACCAGCCGAACGGCGAACGACTCGGAACGCTCTCCAGACAGTTCAGATCCATCGAGGAAGGTTCTGCTTTCCACCGTGTGCACGTGGAGGACCACGGTGCCAACCACTCAGCCATCTGGGCAAACGTCAAGTGCACCTGGGTGGCAGCCACCGTGCTCGCTGCGAGGGCCCGACCTTCCAGCCTCACTGAGTTCCATCACGCTTGGAACCGTGAAATCCCGATTGGGCTGCAGCTGGGTGGCCGTACTGCTGCAGCTGCTCAGCTTGTAGGCGCCTCCCGCTCACCAACAAGGTTCACCGCGTTAAGGCTCGGAAAAGCCGCGTGCGAGCAATGTTTTGGGGCAGAGCCAACAGCCAGGGGGTCAAAACTGATGATGGCACCAGCACTGTCTACCGCCGCGCGCCCCACAACGGCTCCCACCACGCGCCACGACGCACACAGACGGAGGACAGGAGCGCTGCGAGGACTCGCCCGTGCAGGACACTGACGCCACCACCGCGCCCAGCGACTCCGCTGACGTCAGCGGCAGTATCGACCACACAGCTCCGGGCCAAGCAGAACCGAACCAACTCCTAGCGAACACCAGCGCCATGATCAGGCTCATGATTCGCACACGGGAACCCATCTTGGGCAGCTGCCGCGTCATGGGGCGCCGATACGACGAGGTCGCACCCACGTGGGTGGATTTCAAAGCCGAACACCACCAGGAACTCGCAGAGCCGGCACCGGCCGAGCCTCTCACTTTCACAGATAACGACCTTGTACATGATCAGGACGAGACTCAGCCACGCGCAGAGGGAGGTGGGGGGAGGGGGGCGGGTTTCTTAGAAGCACACCTGCGTCTTAGAAGGCGCGGGCCTTATCTGTAGATACAGGGCCGCCGCCTTCTAAGAAGCAGCCTCCTTCTAAGAAGCCATCCCCACTCCCTTCACCCCCTTGTGCGCGCCGCCAACAATCCTCGCTTGCGGAAAGGGAAGGGCGAACTCCCCTCGGACTAAAGGCGGCTGTCCGCGATGTCCATCTGGCCGTGCGCCTGGGAATCGCCAGCTTGCCGCAGCCTGGCGCCCTGGAGAGTTCATTTGGCCCGCCCTGCTAGTTTTGGGGCCGTCCCACACGCTACCATCAGCGATGTCAGCACCACGCTTGCCCTTCAGGTTGAGTGCGCGCAGCACCCTCCAAGCCCGCTGGCGGGCGCAGCGCTGGATGTAATGAAATGCTTCGATTACCCCGTCGCAGACGTCTGTCTCAACCTGGCCCCCCGCGCCGGCCGCCTGCGCGACGTCGCGCAGGTGAGGCGCCATTTCTACGATGCCCGCAGACGACGCGCCCGCAAGGGAGGCGCTCGCCCCCCCCCCCCCCCTGCGGCGAGCCGACGGTCATCCCCACGGCGGCCCCTTCTCAGTCTACGACATCGAGCTCCTCGCGTGCGTCTGGGCCCAGCGGCGGCGCAGGTGCATGCCGCGGCTGGTCTGCGCCGCGTTCGTTGATGGCGGCAAGTTCACGGCCCCCGCGCACGCGAGTTGCGGGCTTCTCTCGACCAGACTGCGTTGTTCGACAAGTTGCGCGCGCAGGAACCCACCTGGGCATTGTCGTCAGTTGGGCTTCTGGGAAGGAACTCGACCGCCAGGTTGTGGCCCTCCATCTGAACGAGCACACACTCAAAGCGCATCATCGGGTGAGATTGGCGGGGGAGGGGGCGCGTCGACGTTGGCCTCGAGGTCGACGGCCCTGGCGCCAACCTCGAGGCCGCGGCCAGCGCCGGAGTCAAGAACGCCATTCACGCCCCCGGAGACCAGGACACAGACAAACCAGGACACGGGAAGCCAAGGAAGCGCCACCCTTCCCTGCAAAGTCACAGTTCTCAGAGCCCGTGCACTTTTGCCTGCTGCACTGCAGCATGGTCGGGGGGGCAGCAGGGCCCAGGCGCGCGAGCCTCGGGGCGACGACCGCCGGGCCACCAGGGCCGCCCAACCCGCGGGCCGCAGGCGAGCCCTCGCGCAGACCCTCGCGGCGACGAGCAGCCAGCAGCAAAGAGCTCTGGAGACCGCTCTCACCGCCTGTAGACGATCGCGCCATCATCGGGCCAGAGAGCTGGCGCACCCCGTCCAGCAATTGCAGGAACAATCAGCAGCGCTGACCAACAGGCTCCACCGAGCGCAACAGGCCTGGAGCGGCCTGCACCAGGCCTTCCGGCCTGCAGTCGCGATGGGCGCAGCCCCACTTGTCAGCCTCCAGGCCGTCTTCGACGCTCAACGGGCGGCACGCCAGTGCTGGCCCCCGTCTCCCGCGTCCCACGGACCACGAGCACAGATGGCACCTGCACCGTCCATCGCTCTCACTGGGCCGCTGCGGGGGATGCCCCAAGTCGGCGCCTTTCAAGTCCCATGATCGCCGAGGTGCGCATGCCAAAGCGCGCTAAAAGCCGTCGCCCCCTTGGTCGTCACGGGGGCGCATGCGGGACCCCATAGCGGTTTGATCATCGCCGCCCGCCCTTTTTTCCAGATGGTGTCTTTGTGGCCGCGCCAGGGGTGGAGGTAAACCCACCGCCCTTATTACATATGCGGCGCTTGCCGCTATTCGAGGACGGCATTCCTGGCACTCACAGCCTGGGGGCCAGGGCTGACGCGCAGCCCGAAGTGTCGCGATATGTTGTTTTGTTGTTGTTGTTGTTGTTTCTGTCTCTCTCTCTCTCTCTCTCTCTCTCCATGTCTTTATTTCTACATTTGTTTGTTTTGTTATCTCTATATATATGGAGTCATAAATGTAATATCGTTCCGAAGCCATTCATGTGTATACAACTGCGCGCTGGCTCAACAAACTATGCACGCATGTATGTATGTAAATGAGAAGGTGCACGATTCAGTAAGTCTATGTATGCATACATACATGTATGTATATATGCATGTATGTATGTATGTATGTAGGTAGGTAGGTAGATAGGTATGTAATTGTGTAGGTATGTATGCATGTATGTGTGTATGTGTGTATGTATATATGCATGTATGTATGCGTGTATGGGTGTGTGTATGAATGTATGTATGTATGTTTGTCGGTATGTCTGTCTGTCTGTATGTATGTAGGTAGGTAAGTAGGTAGGTAGGTAGGTAGGTATGCGTGTGTGTGCATGCATGCATGCATGCATGCATGCATGCATATATGTATGTATGTATGTATGTATGTATGTATGTAGGTAGGTAGGTAGGTAGGTAGGTAGGTAGGTAGGTAGGTAGGTAGGTAGGTAGGTAGGTAGGTATGTAGGTATGTAGGTGTGTAGGTGTGTAGGTATGTATATATGTACGCATGTATGTATGCATGTATGTGTGTATGCATTGATGTATGGATGTATGTATGGATGGATGGCCGTACGCTTGTATGTTTGTATGTGTGTATGCAGGTACGTATGTATGTATGTAGGTAGGTAGGTAGGTAGGTAGGTAGGTAGGTAGATAGGTAGGTATATGTGCAGGTCTGCATGTATGCATGTATGCATGCATGCATGTATGCATACATGCATGCATGCACATGTGTGTTGGGGTCGTTGTGTGCACATAAGTATACTTGTGCATACATGTATAGCATTATCAGTCCCCTCTATGGGCCTTCATCTGTGCCATCAGCGGAACCATTAGGATGTCAGAGCTGCGAGCCTTGGGACATCTTGGAGGATTCGGAGTACTTCGATGGCTTTTCCGGAATTCTGCTGATTTGAAAGGATCCATGGCCCAACGATGGTTTTGGGATGTGTCGGTTTGCTGTCTAGCAGTCAAGCGCTTTTGGGCAATCCGATGGCGTCCAGTTGCCTCGGAGGGTGTTCCACAAGTTGTTCCCGGTTGCGAGGCTTTGGGATTGCTAACGGGTTGTTGTTGAGGGCTCTGGATGTGTCCAATATGGTTTGCGCTTCGCTTACATGGTTTCAGATTCGAGGTTTCCCGATATTTGCTTGAATGCTCCGTGTGATTCCCGATCGATTTCCCAAAGTTCATGGTTGGTTGAAGATGCGTGGCAGCCTCTATTCGTTCTCGACGAGTTGCCGTTTGGTGCCCTTGCGGGGACTCCACCCCCCAGGGAGGAGGCAGAAAGGGATGAGGAAGAACAGTACGACGCTCCAGGGCTGGACCTGCCGCTGCTTTGCTGGACTTCGGTCGTGTTTTGTTTTTCGTGTGGGGAGGGAGGCACAGGAAAACAAGGTAGAGCGAAACGAAACACAAGACGGACACAAAACGAACAACAACGTTTAGGTCCAGCCCTGTGACTGAATGGTCGACAGTCGCAGCCCCAGCCCAAACAACGTCACCATACGACGTCGCAGCGTCGCCGCCGTGAGCCGACGATGACGGGCAGCGGCGGCTGCGACGGCGACGACGTCGGCGGTCGCCACGACTGCGGCGTCGGCGGCCGCAACGACGCAGACGACGAGCTCAGCTGCCCGTAGCTGGGCGGTGCGAGAGGCCTCGCATGCTGTACGCGAAGGGCTGCAGCGGCTCCACGTGGGTGCAGAAGGCGGGGAGCGCTTGTCAGCAACCCTCCCCGCAGCCTCCGCCGACGAAAAGTCGTGTTCACCGCCACCTGACTGGGCAGGGCCGTCTTGGGCCGTAAAGACCTTCTGGCCTCGGCCAGGAGTGCGCATGCACCATGCCAGGGCCGAGGAGGAGGAGGAGGAGGAGGAGGAGGAGGAGGAGGAGGAGGAGGACGAGGACGAGGGCGAGGGCGAGGACTAGGGGGGGGGAGAGGAGGAGGAGGAGGAGGAGGGGAGGAGGAGGAGGAGGAGAGGAGGAGGAGGAGGAGGAGGAGGAGGAGGAGGAGGAGGAGGAGGGAGGAGGGAGAGGAGGAGGAGGAGGAGGAGGAGAGGAGGAGGAGGAGGAGGAGGAGAGGAGGAGGAGGAGGGAGGGAGGGAGGGGGGAGGGGAGGGAGGGAGGGAGGGGAGGGAGGGAGGGAGGGAGGGAGGGAGGGAGGGAGGGAGGGAGGGAGGGAGGGAGGGAGGGAGGGAGGGAGGGGGAGGAGGGAGGGATGGGGAGGGAGGGAGGAGGGAGGGAGGGAGGGAGGGAGGGAGGGAGGAGGAGGGAGGGAGGGAGGGAGGGAGGGAGGAGGAGGAGGGAGGAGAGGACGAGGAGGAGGACGAGGACGAGGAGGAGGGGGGGGGGGAGGACGAGGAGGAGGGAGGAGGAGGGAGGAGGAGGAGGAGAGGAGGGAGGGAGGCGAGGAGGAGGAGGAGGAGGACGAGGAGAGGGAGGAGGAGGGACGTGGAGGAGGAGGAGGGTAGGAGGAGGGAGGAGGAGGAGGAGGGGAGGAGGAGGAGGAGGCGCGAGAAGTGCCGTGCGCGCCGCCACAGGGCATCGGACCTCCGCGGCGCCCCGAAGAGCCTCCGCGGCGCCCGGTCTTCTTTTCCTCTGCGGCCCGCGGCCCCGGGAGGCGCGCCTCGGGGCCGGCAGAGACTGGCGGCGGGGGTCTTCTGACCTGGGTCAGTCCAGACCCTCCTCCTCCTCCTCCCTCCTCCTCCTCCTCCTGATCCTCCTCCTCCTCCTCCTCCCCCTCCGCCTCGGGGCCGGCAGAGACTGGCGACGGGGGTCTTCTGACCCGGGTCAGTCCAGGCCCGGGGTCAGGCAGGCCCGGCAGGATGCTGCAAGGATCCCGCAAGGGTCCTGCGCCCGAGCCTGGGCCCACGCGAAGGAGCCTGCAGGAGTCCTGCACTGCACGGAGCCGGCACCCCGACCCGGGTCCATGCGACGCCCTGGCCCCGCAGGATCCTGCAGGCTCGGGCGCTCTGGCGGACCCGACGGGGAGGCCGGTCCCCCGGGCGGCGCTGTCGATCCGGTGCAGCTTCAGGGGGGGGACGCATGGACCCCCCCAGAGGCCGCCCATGAACTTGGCATCGCTCGGACGTGTGCATTTTTGTCTTCGGCGAGGACCATCGAGGAGCATCCTTGATCATCTGGCGAAAAAGCACGCACGAAACCTATAAAAAAGGCAATGGACGTCCGAGCGATGCCCAGTGAATCACCGAGGGCCCACCGCGCCCAGGAGCGTGAGGTGACGTCGGGGGCGTAGCCTAGATCTATCGGCGATGCGTCGTCGATGCCAGGTCGATGCTTCCTCCAAAGAGCGGGCTGCCCCCTTCACGCTGCCCCCCACCCTCGTGAGCAGGCACGTGCTGTCGCTAAGTCGGGCACGTCCCTCTACAGGAGAAATAGTTAACAATGTTCAAGAACTAGTCAGGGAACGATGTTTCTAAGACTGTTTTTCTCCCAGTAGGCTTGCCCTATGGGAGTCCTAGCTCAAACCCTACTAATTGGTCCGCTGCCCCCCCTAATTCCTATGGCTATGCCCATGCCTATGCCGACGCATCCCCCGTAACTCCTAGGCCTACGCCTGTGCCTATGCCTATGCCTATGCCTAATGCCTATGCCTATGCCTATGCCTATGCCTATGCCTATGCCTATGCCTATGCCTATGCCTATGCCTATGCCTATGCCTATGCCTATGCCTGCTTGCTTGCTTGCTTGCGCGCTTGCACGCTTGCTTGCTTGCTTGCGCGCTTGCTTACGCGCTTGCACGCTTGTTTGCTTGCTTGCGCGCTTGCTTGCGCGCTTGTTTGCTTGCTGAGTTGCGGATTCCAAGCATGCTTGATTCCGCTGATGTTTTTTGACTTGAGTCGTCTAAGCTATTTGGAGTCAACGCTGGCTGATAGTTTGATTACTTTTCGATAGTCTTCAACTTCCTTCGTCTGTCGCCCAGAATCCTCTTGTAGGAGGACGTGCCCGACCTGATGCTGTCGTCGGAGGGCGGGCGTCAGCTCCGGCCATGGTCCCGTGCCGGCGCTCCCGGCCGGGGCGCCCGGGATCCGTGCAGACGCGCTCCGCGGCCTCGCTCTGGACGCTCTTGGCGCCCGGTGCGGGTCCGGCCGGGCGCCAAGAGCGAAGCCGTGGCGCGTCGCAGACTTGCACTTGGCATCGCTCGGGCGTGTGCATGTTTCCTTCGGTGAGGACCATCTAGGAACATCCGTGATCATTTGTCGAAAAAACCACGCACGAAACCGAAAAAAACACAGGGAATGGACGTCCGAGCGATGGCGAGTGCAGTGGAGGCCCATGCCAAAAGGGCACCCTGCTTGCCTCCTGCAGAGAGCCGCGCGAAGCCAAGATCCGGACCCAGAGACCCCCCCGCCTCCCCCCCTCTTCCGCTCCATGTCGAAACGTCGAATAAGAAGACGTTGACCAGGGTGTCCTGGGTTTCTGGGGCCTCGATGGCTCTGCTATGGAATGCGTGACGTTCCCACACGAAAAGTCCATGGACGTCCTGGGGCTGAGGGGTTGGGTTTCTTGTGGAGGGTTTCTGGTGGTCGAGCTCCTACACGTGGAAGTGCAGTCCGCCGTACTTTAGGTCTCAGACCTGAGAAGCAGTCCGCTGGGCAAAAAACATGAGAGACAGTGGGGACCCGTCTTTCGTGAGCGCCGCTGGCCCAGCTTTTTGCACATCTCCGCCCGCCCCTCGGCCAGTATCGTTGGACCTACCCGCATCCCCTGTCCGCCGGGGTTCCTCAGCGCCACCAGCCCTACCGCCTCTCGGCGCGGATTGGTGTCGCTGAACACGATGGAAACGGCATCACCCCCACCGAGGGAGGTAGGTCGGTCAGCGGAGAGAAGAGCCACCCGATGGGGATGGTGATCTGTCGATGCTGACCTCCTGGTTCCTCCCCTCGCCCTCTCGTGCACGCACCGCGGGGGCGGTCAGGCTCGAGCCAGATATCGAATCCTCATCATCGCGCCGCCAGCGACAACCCCTCGCGGCGGCAACCATGGGCAGCACTGCGTCCGTGGCCTGGGGCCCGGAGGAGGGGCCGCAGGCGAAGCAGGCGGCAGCGCAGCGCCCCGGGGACGCCTGCGTGGAGGCACCGACGAAGTCGCCGTTCGGCGAGTCGGGGCGCCAGGACCGCGACGACGCGACGCTGCTGCCGCCGCGGGCGGACGGCGACAAGCGCCAGCCACACCTGGACTTGTGCCGCTTCATCTGCGTCCTGGTGGTCGTCCTGGACCACGGTGCTCCCGAGTACGCCAAGTGGAACGCCTTCTTCGGGCAGAACTGGACCCTGCAGCTCATCTACGTCATCTGCGGCATCAGCCTCGGCCTGTCGAAGCGAGGCTTCGGAGGCTACATGGCAAGGCTGGCGGGCTACGTCGTCGTCGGCGTGGGCTGCAACTGGCTCGCCTGGGTGGTGACGGGCCAGGACTGGCGGAGCAACGTGTGGGGTGTGGTGTTCCAGTTCTGGTTCGTGGTGGGCCTCATGCTCTACAGCGTCATGCTGATACCGCTCAAGCAGTACTTGGCCTGGGCTGCTTGTCGGGACCAGCTCACAGCGGCGGAGGAGAGCTACGGCGCTGCGACGTTGCTGGACCGGGACGCCAGTGCGGCGAACTCCACGATTAGAGGGGCCTCGCTGGTCGCATTGGGGCTCGTCATCGTCTGGATGGCAGTGTCCGTGGCGCTCAGCCAGCTGCTGGACGGGGAGTACGCCACTTCGCTGCAGGAGGCCTTCGGCGCCATGGGGAGTGCCGCACAGTATTGGGAGAGCGCGTCTGGCTCCGCAGCTTCCAGCCTGATCAAGGACGTTTGTGCCGCCGTCGAGCTGTCCCTCAGCAACGTCTGGCTGGCCGTGGCGGTGCCCGTGCTGCTCCCTCAGCACCAGAGCATCACAGGGTGGCTCATGCTGGTCAACATGCATGCGCGGCGGCTGCTTCCGTGGTACAGCGGCCTCGGCGAGAAGGCGCTGAACGGCTTCGACCTCATGCTGCTGGGCACGACGTGCTTCTACCTTGGGCTCTCCAAGCGCCGGCAGATCGGGATAAAGATCGCCAGATATTGGTGGGTGATCCTGTTCGTCATCGGCCTGGTGTGGCTGCCTGGCACGTACGGACGGTACGACCAGCTGCAGGCGACGCCTTGGGAGCTGACGTGGCGCATGCGTCTGCTGGACATGTTCTTCGCGACGGCCTTCCTGAGTGCCGGCGAGCGCTTCGCGGACCCCAAAATCTTCACCGAGGACAAGCTCGGGTTCATCGGCAACCTGGGCTTCTTCCTCTTTCTCGTCCACAAGGCCGTGCACATAGTGTTCCCCGCGCCGTGGAACTGGGTGCTGCTGATTAGCTTCGGCCCCTTGTTCTGGCTCGCGAGCTGAGTGAGCACAGGGACGGCTGGCAGAGAGCAGAGCAGCAGAGCAGAGCGGCCCGTGGGGAGGCGGGAAGTCCGCCTGCCCCGGCAAGGCGCCGGGCCGACATTTTTGCTTGCTAACTCCACCGCGCGCTGAAACATGCGTGTGACGTTCGGCTGGTGGTCAGTGGCGCCCTGGCTTCTCTCTTCCGCGGGATGCGTCGTGACTCTGCCCGGGACCCCCCAAAAAGCAGTGCTCATCTTTGTCGCCATCCCATCCGCGCGCGGACCAGTTCCTTGGATGATGTGCGTGCGTGCTGCGCGCTCGCCGAAGCAACTCGGCAGGGTGGGGATGCGCTGTCCGCCCTGCAGTCTGTCGACGTCGCCTGCAGGACGCGCTCGCCGCTCGCCAGCAGTACGCCCCTGCCCCCCTGCGGAGACGTGATGGCGGCTGCTGCCTCCGGCGCGGCGGCCCTGCGTGCGCGGTCACCGCAGGGGTTGCGCACACCGCACGGAACGGCAGAGCGAGAAGAAGAGCACCGCGACAGGGGTTGCGGCCTCAAGCGGTGCCGGAACGGCGACGTCGAGGCCGTCTTTGCAGGCGGCCCAGCGCGTGTGGCTCGTGCAGTGTGTGATGGGCGACACCGTCACGCTGCCCACAGGGCGTCCCGAGCCGGCAGCCCCGCAGAGAGCCGCGGGCGCTTGCAAAGAGGCGGCAGGAGAGGCGCGCGAGGGCGGGGACGCCTTGAAGCAGCTGGGCAGTGCACTGCCAGCCCGGCGATGACGTTGGTAGAGTCGGACCGGGGCATGAGATCGAGGTTGGTCCTGGGGAGGGCACCCTGGGAGGCTCTGTTTGCTTCGGCCGACGGAGGGGCTCGTGCTCTGGAGGGATGCTCCTCTGGCCCGGGTCCGCCTGCAGAGGAGGGCCCGCCCAGGGTGCGACGCCGGCGACATGGGGAGCGGGTGCAGACGTCGAGAGCCGCTCGCGGAGGACCTTTCGGCCTTCTTTTTCCCCCGCGCGAGCTTCCCCGCGTGTGGACCCCGTGCTAGCACGCGACGGCGACCCGCGTGGCGCCCTGCTCCACGGGATCCCGTGGAGGCAGGGCGCCCCGCGTGTGGACCCCATGCTAGCACGCGACGGCGACCCGCCTGGCGCCCGCCGGCGGTGCGTCGAGGCACCGCTGGCCACGTGCTCGGCGTGATCCCCCATAGGAGGGCTCGCGGCCGAAGGGGCGCGGCGGCCCGCCCCGCCGGGCCCGCCCCGCCCGGGCGGGCCGGGCGGGCCAGGCGTCGGGCCAGCTGCACGTCGGGCGTGTCCCTCTGCAGGGGGAGTGCTCAAAAATAGTAAGAGAACTATGTCGTCTGGGGGCGATGCTTCTATTCTAACGTTTTGACTATTTTGGCTTATTGTTGGAGCATGTTTTGTTGTTCCTCCAGAATCCGCCTGCAGGAGGACATGCCCGACCGAACGCCAGCTCGATCGCCTCAAGTGGCCCGCGCGCGTGCCAGCAGCATGCTCGAAGGGGGGGAGTCCAGCAGTGGTGCAAGCGTCCTGGCATGCCCACACCGGTCCCCTAGAGAACGTTTTGAGAGAGCCTCTTGCGGTTCGCAACGAGGTATTCTTAGAACAGTTCTGGCTGAGACAGTCTTGCTTGAATCAGCCTGCTTATGTTGTAAGAGCTTTGTTTTTGTGGTTAGGACACTCCTTTGTTCCAATGTTGCTTTTGTGGTAGACCTATAGGAATGCCGGGACGGTCGGTCCCTGCTCAAGGTAGGGGACATTCGGGTTTGGTCCGCAGGTCGACCTTGCAAAATCGATGTCTTGTCGACACCCAGTAGCATGGCGAATCCCCCGCGGCAGTGATTCTGTTTCACTGGCGTCGTCGTCCCTGGCCGTTGCGAAAAGTCAGAGTGCGCACGTTTCGATTCGTGCGTGTTCGTGCCCTTCCCCTTTTCGGTGCCCCCGTCTGGCTCTATCGCTGGTGCAGCCAGCTCTGCCTCGCCGCCGACGGAAAAAAACTGGTTTAGCCCTTCCCTCGCCTCCTTGCCGACCGTCGCGAGGACTGCGCCGATGGGTGCACGTTGCTGTCGCTGCCGTTTTTGTTTCTCCTATAATCACCACGTGCGCCACTCAAGACGGGTCTGCACAGCACGACCGTCGATGACGGCTTTTGCCAACGACGGGCACACAGCGGCCCGCCAGACATCCACCGACTCAGACCATCTGTGCTCATGGAGTTGGGTCGCTGACGCACGTGACACTGCCCCGAAACCGATGATCAAGCAGGAAGCACTGTTTGCCTCGTCCCTACGTCCTCCCTTTCGTTGTCGTCGTCGTCGTCGTCCTCCCACTTCTCCCAGGAAGGAGGGGCACCTCCTGGAAATCGAGGGGCAGCATGGAGGGCCACAGGGTCATGGAGTCTCACCCAGAGAGAGAGAGAGAGACAGAGAGAGAGAGAGAGAGCGAGAGAGAGAGAGAGAGCGAGCGACACAGAGGTGGGTGTGGGGGAGGTGAAAGTCAGGGAGGAGGAGGAGAGGGAGCGAGTAAAGCAGGAAGACGACAATGACAGTGACGGTGACCAGGGCTATGACGATGACGATGACAAGTGTGATAATGGTTGTGATGGTGATGGTGATGATGCTGTTGATGATCATGAGTATGGTGAGTATGACGGTGAACGTTACGACGATAATGATGATGATGGTGTGATGATGATGCTGATGAGGATGGTGATGATGATGATGATGATGATGATGATGATGATCTTGATGATGCTGATGACGATGACGATGACGATGACGATGATGATGATGATGATGATGATGATGATGATGATGATGATGATGATGATGATGATGATGATGATACTGATGACGATGATGGTAATGATCATGCTGGTGGTGTTGGTGGTGTTGGTAGTGATGGTGGTGATGACGAGGATAATGAGGATGATGAGGATGATCGGGTGGTGATAAAGAGTATGACTGGGAGGGTGAGACTGAAGGAAATGATGAGTAGGCGAGTGATGCGGAAGAGAAGGGGGTGTCGGAGAGAGCGTACAGTCAAAGTGCATGGTAAGGATGATCAATGTTCCAAGGTTACTCTGCATCCTTGCCCCTTCGGCCCATCCTCAGCGACCTTGGTTGGCCAACCTCGTTTGAGCAACGTTACCATGGCCCTCCAAAGCCCTTGCATTCTTACCGCGCATCCGTAGTACACGGGTTGACTGTAGGGGTGATGGTTTCGGTGGTGGTAATAACCAGAATGACGATTTGTGGGAGTTTACATTTTGGAGAAGTATGCGCTGTCGATCCCCTTCACCGAAGCCCGCTTGTTATTGTCAATTGAAGTGCGTGTGCGCCTCGACGCTCGCATCAAGTCTTTCGTCGAGGATAACATTGGGAGAAGCTGAGCCCCCAAACTACAACAATAACGGGATGAAGCGTCCTCACAAAGCACCCATAATTCGCGCTCTCGTTCGACATTCTCTTGCAACGCAATCAGGACTCGCGATGTCGCTTGAGACTTCCTATCACTTTACAAGGCAGGTTGCCGCGGTTAGACATCGTGCTCTTGCTCGGGATCTCCTCGCAACTCACTCAAACATTGTGTTGTCGCCGCTCAGCAACCGCACCCTCGCCCGGGACTTCCTCGCCGTGTGCGTAGGGATCGCGCTCTCGCCTGAAACCTCTTCACGGTTTACTCCAGCATCGTGCGCCGGTGTCCCGCCCGCCCGCCCTGCCCACCCCCGTCAGAGTCCTCCCGCCCGGCACGCGCCCGCCAGGACCTGCCCGTCCGCTAATCTTGAATCGCGGGCGCCCGCTCTGAGGTCCCGCCCGCCCGACCACACCGTTCGGGCTCGCCCGCCCGACCTGCCCGTGAGGCTCTGCCCCCCCCCCCCCCGACGCGCCCGTTGGGTGCCGCACGCCCGAGTCGCCCATATAGGGTCCGCCCGAGCGACGAATTTTGCCTCCTCCTCCTCCTCCTCCTCTCTCCTCCTCCTCCTGCTCCTCCTCCTCCTTCCTCCTCCTCCTTCTCCTTCTTCCTCCTTCTCCCTCCTCCTCCTCCTTCGTCCTTCTCCCTCCTCCTCCTTCTCCCTCCTCCTCCTCCTCCTCCTCCTCCTCCGCCCGAGGTCACGTAGACGGAGAGGGTGGGAGTCGAGGGTTTGGGGTATACAAGTGGAGCGACGCACGAGAACACGGGCATTGCTCGTGCTGATGGCGCTTGCAGGGGTGACGAGGACGGTGGTGATGGTGCAGACGATGATAAGGACCATGATCGTGATCATGATCAGGATCGGGATGATTGAGGTGATGATCTTGAGGACGAAGGGGAGGAGGACACGTCAGGATACGGAGCAGCAGAAAGAGGCGGAGGCGGAGGAGCAAGATGAGCGTCGCGGGAGCAGCCTAAGTGGGCAGGAGCACGACAGAGGGAGAGGGAGAAACACAGGCAGTGAGACAGAGAGAGAGAGAGAAACAGAGAGTTTGGCCTCGTTCGGACGTATGCATTGTCTTGGCGGGCATCATCGAGGAGCATCTTGGACCATCCTGCGAAAAAGCAAGCGCACGACACCGCACAAGGAATGCATGGACGTCCGAGCGAGGGCCAAAGAGAGCGAGGGAGAGAAGTATCGGCCTCGCGCAGAGGGGTGTAGGGGGAAGGCGGGGGGCTTCTTAGGAAGAGATTGCTTCTCAGAAGGCGTGGGCCTTCTCTGTAGGTGTATGGCCGGCGCCTTTGAGAAGCAGCCTTCTTCTAAGAAGCCCTCCCCCCTCCCCCTGCCCCCCTTTGTGCTGCGCGCCGCCAAAGAGAGCCGAGCAGTCTGGCTCTCACCGCCGCTCGGCATTCGCTTGCCCTGGCCCGCCTCTGTGGCCCGCGGTTCGGGTGTTGCTGGAAGTAGGTGCCCCTGGCCCAAGGTGCCCCCCAGGATTTCCAAGGCGGCCTCCACAGCGTCCAGAGCACCCCTTACGAGGCCCAGAGGGCCCCAGGGGCTCCAAAGTTAAGCGACAAGCTGGGGGTACCTCGGGCCAGGGGCAACTTGAGAAACCCCCGAACGGTGGGGGACGTCCACCCGCGTCGTGCGCGCTGCGGTTGCGCGGCCAGGTGGCGCGCGAGCTGATGAAGCTGCACGGCTTCTGCGTCTCGCCCGTGGCCTACGAGGCGCGCCGCGGGGGGAGGCACGGGGGGAGCACCTCTTCACTCTGCGCAAACTTCAGGTTTTTGGCCTGTGGCGCTCGTGCAAGAAAGTCCGACCTGGAGCAATGTGTCACACACAAGTTGAGGTTGCTGCTTGTGCGGGCGCAAGAGCAATCAACCCTGATAGTAAAGATGATCGACTTCCCAAGTGTACCCTTGCATCCCAGCCTCTTCGGTCACCTTCGGTCCATCCTCAACCGCTTTCGATCAGCCCCGCTCGAGGAGCCTCGGCATGGGCGTCCAAGGCCCTTGCATCCTTGCCGCGCATCCTTACTACATGGGTTGACTGTAGTGCCACAGGAAGTTGTCGAAGGCTCAGTGCCCAGAAGCTCAGAGCAACTCAGCAGGCAGCCTGGGGACCACCTCCCCAGGGTCTCGCTCCTTCCCGCCCTCTCCTCCTTCCCGCTATCCCTCGTCGTCGTCGTCGTCGTCGTCGTCGTCGTCGTCGTCGTCGTCGTCGTCGTGGTTGTACTCCTCATCCTGCTCCTCCTCCTCCTCCTCCTCCTCCTCCTCCTCCTCCTCCTCCTCCTCCTCCTCCTCCTCCTCCTCGTCGTGTCGTCGACGAGATGCTGCTCCGAGGGCGCCACCCCCCGACCAACCTCTTGCCCAGCGGGCGGCGCGGGGGGCGGGGGGTGTCCACGGCGAGGCGGAGGGGCATGGCGGGGGGTGGGGGGGGGGTGCTGGAGACGGAGGAGGAGGAGGAGGAGAAGGAGGAGAAGGAGGAGCAGGAGGAGGAGGAGGAGGAGACGGAGGAGGAGGAGGAGGAGGAGGAGGAGGAGGAGGAGGAGGAGGAGGAGGAGAAGACGGAGGAGTAGACGGGGAGGAGGAGAAGGAGGGGGAGGAGGAGGAGGAGGAGGAGGAGGAGGAGGAGGGAAGGGATGCGAGGGCGGGAAGGGAGGGCGGGAAGGGAGGGAGGGTTGGAGGAGGAGGCGGAGGAGGAGGTGGAGGAGGAGGCGGACGAAGGAGGCAGAGGAGGAGGCGGAGGAGGAGAGGAGGGAAAAGGGGAGGACAAGCTAGGTGCGCTAGCGTCACCTCTGACGTCCTACCCCTCGTCCCGATCCTTTACCATGGCGTGCATCTCAGATCTATTCGCAGAGTCGGACGTCGAGCAGGGCAATGATCCCAAGAGGGTACGCGATGGATGGAAACGCATGGCGTAGAAGAGCACGGCAGAGCATAACATGTCATAGCATGACGTGGCGTTGTGTAGTGGAGCATTGCATCACAAAGCATAGCAACGCAAAGCATGGCATCGCACAGCGTTGCACAACACAGCATCGCAATGCATGCCGTGACATGGCACCGGATGACTTGGAGGGCAAGTGGCCCGTCTACGAGAGGACAGGGCTTGTCTGGAATGCCGGCTCCATGTCCTGTGTGGGCGCTTTCGAATGCCAAGTGCCGTCCGGAGGCGCGGGAACGAGGCCAACGCTGCAGCGGGAGCACGATTTTGAATGACCGAAGCGCGGAAATGAGAGCGGCGCTGCAGTGGAAGCATCATTTTGAAAGAGCCAGAAACGACCGGATTGAAAAAACACATCGGCAAAACCAAATCATGAAATCCCGTGTGTACACTGCAATACGCGGAGAGGACGGGACACTCTCCGGACAGAGTCAGGGGAGAGGAGAGTAGTACTCATATTGTATAGCTGTGGAGGGGTAGGAGGGCGGGGAGGCAGAGGAAGGAGGAAGGGGCAGGAGGAGGAGGAAGGGGGAGGAGAAAGACGGGCAAAAATGGAGGAGGGTGGTGGGGGGGGTGGAGGAGGAGGAGGAGGATGGGATGTGAGGAGGAGGAGGAGGAGGAGGAGGCTGAGGAGGAGGAGGAGAAGGAGGGAGGAGGAGGAGGTAAGAGGAGGGGAGGTGGAGGAGGAGGGGGGGGGGGGGGGTTGGTTGACGGCGGACAAAGGAGGACCAGGGGCCACTGGAAGTTGGTAAGTGGATGTGGAGGAGGGAGGAGGGAGGAGGAGGAGGGAGGAGAAGGGCTGGAGTGTGGAGGAGGAGGAGGAGCAGGAGGAGGAGGGGCGGTGGAGGAGAGCAGGAGGAGGAGCAGGGGGCGAGGCTCTTCGGCAGGGGTGGCCAGGGGGAGCGGGCCCTTCGCGAGGGGGCGAGGCTCTGCGCCAGGCTGTCGAGTGGCCTCGGCCCCTGGCGTGCGCAAGGGAGGTGTCCCCGACCCCTGACTTCTCCGCGAGCCCTGCTTCCCGTCGTCCTCGTCGCTCGCCATCGTGAGCCTCGGCTCCCTTCTTTCTCCTTGCTCCTCCTGCTCCTCCTCCATCTCCTCCTTCTCCTCCTCCTCCTCCTCCCTCCTCCTATTTGCCCTCCTTGTTCATCCTGCTCCCTCCTCCGGTCACCTCCATCCATTCTCCCTATCCGGCTCCTCCACCTTTTCTCTTCCTCCTCCTCCTCCTCCCTGCTCCTTCGCCTCCTCGTCCTTGTCCTCCTCCCGTCCTTCATGATGCGTGTTCTTTATTATCCCTCTCCGCCCTCCATCCCTGTGCGCCTCCCCCCTTCTCCTCCCTCCTTCCCCCCTCCTCCCTCCCCGTTTCTCCGCATCCGTCTGCCATCCTACCATTTTTTCTGCGGCTGCCCCTCCTCCGCCGCCTCCTCCTCCTTCGTCTTCCTCAGCCCTTTCTGTCTGGATGCTCATAACCTCCTCCTCTCCTCCCCCCCTTTTCCCCTCCTGCCCCCCTCCCCTCTTCTCCCCTCCTCCCCCTCTTCTCCCCTCCTCCCCTCCCCCTTGCCCCTCCTCCCCTCCTCCCCCTTCCCCCCCCCTTCTCCTCGCTCCTCGCTCTTCCCCTCTCCTGCTCTCTCCCCCAGCACGAAGGCTCGCAAAGAGCCGACGGGCCTGCCCAGGCCACGGCAGTCCGCTCCGGCACAGCCCAGGGGGCCGCCGGCCCTCAGTTTGAGTCGGGCATGTCCCTCTACAGGAGGAGTATTCGAGAGTAGCCCAGAAGATGATCTGGGACGATTTTTCGAATGTTTCTGAACATCGTTTGATTACTGTGCTGTAGGAGGGCATGCCCGACAGGGCTTGCTTTTCTTAGCTGATGAGGAGGCCTTCTGCCTCGGATGGGCGAGCTGGGGGGGCCACTCTTCGACGGATGTGCGCTGCTTGCTTGCGAGCTGCCGTGGGTATCTTCCGTCAGATGTCCAGCAGCACCACTGGAATCGTATTCTACAGGGGGCAGCGTCCACGGACTGAGAGAAGGGGCATGTTTCAGGCGATCGCAAACATGGATCAAGGGGCGTGGATTAGCGACGGGTCCCGTTTCCATGGGAAATCGCGGATTTCCGCCGCCGAACGAAGCGGCACCGGCGGCATTTTGGGTAGGGCACCTCCCCCGATCCGTGGATTTGGCGACCACGCGCCAATTCCATGGATCGCTGATCCACGTTTGCGCGCCCCCGATTATGGCGCAGTGCTGGGACCCATGCCAAGAAACACCCTGCTTGCCTCCAGGGTGCCCTGGGTTTCTTGCGTTTCGATGGTTTCGCCATGGAAGCCGTGACGTTCCCACGCCAAAAATCAATGGACGTCCTGGGGTCTCAGGGTTGGATTTCTTGTTGGAGGTTTCTTGTGGTCGGGCCTCCACTGTAGTTCTGGGACCCCCTGAGTCCGCAGGGTGCCTCTCCAGCCGGGCCGCCTGGCGAGAGTGCGGCGCAACGGAGCGCACCAGCAGCAGGAACCAGGGGGGCAATGGCAGGGCCGCCCTCCTGCGAGCGTGCGGCCGCCTGCGTCGCGCTGGGAGGGGACAGAGCGAGGCAGAGTCGCGCACGTTTTTTACTGGCCGTCAGCCTCCTCCTCCCCCTCCTCCTCCTCCTCCTCCTCCTCCTCGTCATCATCATCATCATCATCATCATCATCATCATCATCATCATCATCATCATCATCATCATCATCATCATCATGATCATCATCATCATCATCATCATCATCATCATCAGAAGCATCCGAAGCATCAGCATCAGCATCAGTATCAGCATCATCCTCATCCTCCTCCTCCTCCTCCTCCTCCTCCTCATCATCATCATCATCATGTTCATCATCAGTTTCATTACCATCCTCATCATCATCACCACCATCATCACCACCACCATCATTATCATCATCATCCCTATGCTTGTCCTCATTTCTTTGTTTGCCAGTCGTCTTGTGGCGAGAGCGCTGACCTCCTCGTCCTCCTCCTCCTCTTTCTCGTCCTCCTCCTCCTCGTCCTCCTCCTCGTCCTCCTCCTCTACTCATTCTTCTCCTCCAACTCCTCCTCCCTCCTCCCCGCCTCCTCTTCCTCCTCATCCTCCTTCCTCTCTGGAGATCTCCGACAGCACCCACAAACCTTCCGACGATCGTAGCAGGCATTCAAGATCCTCAAGAATTCCCCGGATGACTCCACATCAGAGCACCTAACCGAAAGCTTCTGGAAACCGTCTTGCAGCATCTAGACGCATCCCAATGCCTCCGAAACCGTCCGAAAGCCTCCGAAACCCTCCGAAAGTTTCTGAGAATCGTCGAAAACAACAGAAAACCCCCGAATGCCTCGACGACGACGACGACGACGACGACGACGACGACGACGACGATGTCGGCGACGTGGTCGCAGGTCGCTCCTGGATGGAGCCCCCGCCGCTAGCCGCGGGCTTCGACGGCGGTCACGGCGACGGCGGTCACGGCGACGGCGAAGACGGCGACGATGACGGCGACGATCGAGGACCACGTATCGAGGTTGTCCGACATGCTTGGCAAATTTGTGTTTTTTGGAGGCTTCTTGAGACCTCTGCTAACCTCTAGGGGCTTGGTGGCCTCCGCCGACCACCAGACGACGATGACGGCGACGACCACGACGACGACGACGACGACGACGACGACGACGACGACGACGACGACGACGACGGCGACGGGGACGGCGGCGATAACGACGACGACGACGGCGACGGCGACGACGACGACGACGACGGCGACGGCGACGGCGACGACGACGGCGACAGCGACGACGGCGACGACGAGAAAGAGCACTCGGCCGCGCCGCAGCCCCTCAACCCGACCAGCGACGTCAAGCGCCTCTTCTCCTACGACAACGCCACCATCGGGGACCGGCCCGCACCTCCGCGCCGGCGAGCTCGGGCGAGCGCGAGGGGCGGGCGCCCTGCCCGCGGGGTGGGGTGAAGGAGAGGGCCCCCGAAGGCGCCCCAGAGGGCCCCTTTTGGAGCCAGCAGGGGCCCGAAAGGGCGTGTCGGGTGCGGAAAGGAGGGGGGTGATGACTAGGGGGGGGTGGATATCATGGCGGGGGCCATGATATTTCCCCAGATCTCGTGGCGCCTCTTCTTGTTTCATTACGTCCCTGGCCCCCCCGCTGGGCCGCGCACATGCCGCCGGTCATGATTTGCACCCCCCCCTCTTAAATTGGACACCCCCCTCTTGGCCGCTCCCGAGAGAGTGAAGGGCGGGCGACCTGCACGGGGTGGGGTGAAGGAGAGGGCTCCCAAAAGGCGCCCCGGAGGGCCCCCTTTCGGAGCCAGTAGGGGCCCGAAAGGGCGTGGCGCGTGGGCGCGTGGGCGCGTGGGCGCGTGTGCGCGGCCCTGCAGTGCCCCTGAAAGGCCCTTTTCTTCCCCCCCCCTGTTGTCAGGAGGGGAAAAACAGCACACAGACACAGTCAGTCATCGATCCCCAGGGAAAGATGGGAAATTATGGGGAGCGGGGGGGAGGACGAGCACCCAGAAGATATCATAAAAAATCGGGAGTCCTGGGATTTGCGTCTGTTTACTTGTGCGTCCCTGGGCCCCTTCAATTTAGGCCACCTCCGCTTAACACCCGCCCGACGAGCGCCCTCCCCGCGCACCAGAGGCGCTCCTCCTCGGTGGCGCGTCCTCGGATGGAGAAGCGAGCGCGCAGGCGAGCTGGCATGAGAGGCCAGGTTCAATCGTGGCAGGAGGCGGCGGCGGCGCGGCGGGGGGAGGAGGAGATCGAGGAGGAGGAGGGGAATTGCTCCTCCTCCTCTTCTCCTCCTCCTCCTCCCTCTTCTCTTTCTCTTCCCCCTACTCCTCTTCTCTTCTCCTCCTCCTCCTCCTCCTCCTCCTCCTCCTCCTCCTCTTCCTCCTCCTCCTCTTCCTCCTCCTCCTCCTGATTGCAGCAGCCCTTGTCGTCTAGATGCCCAGCCGCGTCGACCCCAGCGACCCGTCTTTGTCCGAATGCACCGGCAGATGGCCCTTGGAAACACGGCGCAGCCGATGAGCGGGCGAGCGCCGCTTCCCGTCGTGCGTGGTCGGCCGCCCTCGTGGGCAGGGCCCGCGACGCGGATGCCTGGGACTGCACGGTGGAGCTCGTGCGCCGCCGCGGCCGCGCCCGCCGGGCCTTCGTCGATCTGACGCTCGCAGCCCGAGTGCTCGCCGTCCTGCCGCGCCTGCCCTCCAGCAGGCGCACTCCTTTTCCGCCCACTGCTCCCTCGGAGCAGGCCGACGCTGGGCGTGCGCCCCACGTCACCAGCTTGGCACGGGCTCCCAGCTGGTGGCGGCGTGGGCCGCGCGGTGCTGCTCTGCGGCAGGCCTTCCACGAAGGTGTCTTGCCGACACCGTTCGGGCTGCGGGGACTCACGTGCGGGCGGGCTCGCAGAAGCTTCACGATTCTCGTCTCCTGCAGCTGCGGCCGCGCCACATCCTTCGCTTTGGCTCGCGCTGCGGCCGCTCCGCCGCTGCCGGCCCCCGGCACCTGCTTGGTCGGGGAGTGCGGCGAGGCGGCCCGCAAAGGCCGCGGGAACCCTGCGCAGAGCCGAGGGGGTCTGCACCCTGGCCGGGCCGAGCCTCGGGGACAGCCTGCGGCCTGCGAAGAGAGGAAGCTTCGCCGAAGGGAAGCTCTCCGCCGATGCCCCCTGGCCTCCCGGTTTCTTCGGCCGGTTCCGAGGCGGGCGCCCACCGACTCCTCCCTGCTAGCTCCAGGAAATCCAGTGCAACGTATTCCTCCTCCTCCCTTCCTCCTCCTCCTCCTCCTCCTCCTCCTCCTCCTCCTCCTCCTCCTCCTCCTCCTCCTCCTCCTCCTCCTCCTCCTCCTCCTCCTCCTCCTCCTCCTCCTCCTCCTCCTCCTCCTCCTCCCCCTCGTAGGCTAGAGGCGTTGGCAATGTGGCCACTTCGAGCGCAGGCTGCGGCAGCAGCCGACGGGGGCGAGGAAGAGCGGCGAGGGCCAGGGCCCGAGGGGCGCGAGCCCCCCGAGGGCGAGCGGCAGCGCGGTGGGCTCCCGGCTCGCCCGGGGGCCCGCGCGAGGACGCCGACGCCCGGCGCCCGCCTCGCAGGCCCTCGCCGTGGCGTCGGGCTCGGTCGCGAGGCAGCCTGGCCAGGAGCCGAGGCGTGGGCCCGGGAGGAGAGGCAGTCGAACCGCACGTTGAGCGATGGCCCAGGGGTGCCCCTGCCTCCCTGCCGCCTCGGCCCATCCTTGTATAGAGAGCGGCTCTCGCGGGCCAGCCTCGCTCGAGAAGCGCTCTCACCAGGGGCCTCCGAGGCCCCTGCAGCCTCACCGCGCACCCTGAGGATGCGGGTCGGCTGCAGAGGGCGCCGCTGCCCCGTGCTGGGGCAGCGAGGTGGCGCCAGGGCCAGGCGGCCCGCCTCCTGGAAGCTGGGCGGGCGAGGGCCCGCGCGAGGAGGCGGGCTGCGGGGAGGGGAGGAGGGGCCGGCGGTCGGGGAGGCCCGCCGTTGCGGTCCCCGAGCCCCGGCGTAGCGCGGGCGGGTCGGGGCCCCGTGGTGCGGCGCCATGCGCCTGCCGGGGCAGCGGGGCTCCAGGCGTGCAGGGAGTTCCTGCGGGATCTGGCCTCGCTCCGCGTCGAGCACCCCCGGCCAACGCTCCCCTCTCGGGCGAGACCCTGGAGCGAGGAGCTCACAGAGAGGGGCGGGGGTGCGCCGTGGCCTGGGGCGTCAACCAGGAGCAGTCGGCGGCCCTCCCCTGCAGGGTACGATGGGTGCCCCTCGCGTGCCAGCATCGCCCTCCCCCTGGTGGTGGTTATAGCGTCGGCCCTGTGGCCCTCGTGGACCAGCAAGCAGCGAGAAGGCTTAACGCTTGGGGGCCCTCAACAGCACTGGTCGAGGCTAGTGTCAAGTCGGGCCTGTCCCTCTACAGGAGGAAAATTCGACACTGGAAAATAAATAGTCTGGGAGCGATGTTTTCTTTGTTTTTTATTACTTGTGTTTGAGCATTTGGTATGTTTCGTCCAAAATCTGCCTGTGGGGGGACATGCCCGACCTGAGGCTAGTGGCCCTCACTCCCCGCAGGCTAGCGAGGAAGCTTTACTTCCGCCAGCTTCCACGGCAAGGGGGCCTGTGGCCTTCGCGGCCAGTCGGGGTGCTCTCCGTGCCTCCAGGCATTCCCCAGAGAAGAGCCGCGCAACGGAAGGATGCCGTGGTGCTGAGCAGATCGTCAGCTGCAGCAGCTCGATGGCCGTCTTTCCTGGGTAAGTCCCCTCCCCGAAGGACGAGCCAGAGAACGCAAGGGTCTGGGGTGGGGTCCAGGCCCCATCTACTTCTTGGAGTCGCACTTCAGGCTCCTCATCCCAGACACTTTTCCCATTATTACACATATATGTATATGTGCACACATATATATATATATATATATATCCATTATTACACATATATGTATTTGTGCATATATATATATATAGATATGTGTATGTGTAATGCCTTCCTGTCGCACCCCGAGACGGTCTGGTAGGGCGGGCCAGGCGTTTCGAGTGAGATCTCCTCACCATTGAAAAAAATGAAGTTGAGAAGCTGCAAGAGCTTCACGGCGGTTGGTTTTCAAAATGTGGTTCTCGCCTTAGCGCCGCGCACATTTGTTTTAAAAGTGTGCAAGAGCTTCGCGGATGGAGGGCGGTCGGTTTTTTAAATGTGGTTTCCGCGTCAGCGCCACGCACGTTCGTCTTAGAAGTTTGCATGGTCTTCACGGATGGAGGGTGGTTCCTTTTCAAAGTGTGGTTCTCGCGTTTGCGCCACGCACATTCGTGTTGAAAGCTTACACTCGTTGAGGGGTTCTTACGGCCGTCGTCCCAGGAACGGCGGTCCAGCACGATTTAGAATTGCAAGAGCGCAAGGGTCACCTCGTTCGCGGCGTCGAATGCCCAGTAATGGCTTTATGGCACGATTCTGGCTTGTCAGGACGCAACAGTAACGTTCATTCGCTGCGTGTAAGTCTCAGGAATTGTACTTTGGCGCGACTGAGGATTGTCAGACAGTTGTCTTCCAACGGGGCATTTTTCGCAGTGACAGTAGATTCTTGTAGGAACCTCTGAAAATGGAACTTGGAGGGAGGGTTTATTGCAACATCGTTGTCCTCCGTATCCTCCTCCTCCTCCTCCTCCTCCTCCTCCTCCTCCACCTCCACCTCCTCCTCCTCCTCCTTCTCCTTCTCCTCCTCCTGCTGGCAGTCCTCAGCTGCCCCCAGATGTCTCCGAACTTCTCCGTGAGAACCTCCGAAGATTAGCGTGAACCGCCCTGCCCCCAGCTCCCTCTTGGGCGAAACTACCTATCAGCATTCAAGGCCTCGCGGGCCAGGCCTCTGGGCCGCGACCTCACGGAAGCGGGGCGTTTCTTCGCGGATGCCCCGCAAGGAATGTTCCCGGGCGAACGCGTATCCGCGGGATCGCGCCCCGGAATCCAGACCGCGATGGCGTGGATATGGGACATTGTTTGTTTTCCATCCCCTGGCGCGTAATGGTCGCTAACCGCCCCCCCAACCAAGGTGACAGTAACAATTCTTGCGTTTCGGGGGGAGGCTTGGACCCACCCCCCGCATGCTGGTGTTCGCGATCGCGGCGCCCCCCCCGCCGCCAGGTGCCCCAACCCGCCCGAGCGTCACCGTTACCCGGCGCCCCAGCTCGGAGGGCGCCAAGTAATTATGCGCCTACACCGATCTTGGGAACAGGACCAGTGTATACACCCTCCTGGCCAAACCAGGAAGGCGTAAGTTGGCGGCCCATGCCAAGAAACACCCTGCTTGCCTCCAGGGTGCCCTGGGTTTCTTAGGTTTCGGTGGCTTTGCCACGGAAAGCGTGACGTTCCCACACCAAAAATCGATGGACGTCCTGGGGTCTCAGCGTTGGGTTTCTTGTGGAAGGTTTCTTGTGGTCGGGCCCCCACTGTACCGACGTTCCCGCGTTCAGTCTTCGTTCATGGCCGCCGTTCTCTTTACCGAAAGTTCGGGTGCAACTCCTGGGAGGTCAACTTCTGACCTCGCCCTGGTCCGAAACCTGGCTGGCTTTTTCCAGCTCGATCCCGCTTCGTCCGGCTCAATCTCCCGCTCAATCTGGCCTGCCCCCGCTTCATATCCGCGGCCTAATCCGGCGCAGCAGCTCCCCGAATGGGGCTCAGTCCTCTCTCCGGTTGCTGCTAGAAGTGCCCCTGACCCAAGGTGCCCCCAGGATTTCCAAGGAGGCCCCCGCGGCCTCCCGAGCACCCCTCGCGAGGCCCACATGGCCCCAGCGGGCTCCGCAGGCGGAGCGAGAAGCCGGGAGAAAACCCTGGGCCAGGGGCACCTCTGGCAGCCCCCGATCCTTCGTCCCTCCGGCGAGGACCTCCCAGCAGCTGCCCCCGAACCAGCGACGCTTCTTCGCCGCCCTCTGGCCCTCGGCCCGCCGCCGCCGCAGGCGTCGCGCGGGCCGCCCGACGGCCGCGCGGCGCGCGCGCCGCGCGCACGCCGCTCTCGGCCCTGAGGGGGCGCGCCGAGTCGCCGCGCCACGTCGGCGCCGCGCCGCCCGCCGAGGGGGCCCATGGAGGGCGGCGCGCCGCTCGCGCCGCCGCGGCCGCCGCGGCCGCCGCCGCCGCCGCCGCCGCCGCCGTCGTCGTCGTCGTCGTCGTCGTCGTCCTCGTCCTCGTCTCGTCCTCGTCCCTCGTCGTCCTCGTCCTCGTCGTCCTCGTCCTCGTCCTCGTCCTCGTCCTCGTCCTCGTCCTCGTCCTCGTCGCCGCCGCTGCCGTCGCCGTCGTCGTCGTCGTCTTCGTCGTCTCGGTCGTGATCGTCGTCGTTGTCGGTATCGCCATCTTTCCCTTCCTCCCCAGAAGGAGTGGCGCCTCCTCATCCTCTCCGGGCGGGGCTGGGCTGGCGAAAGGTGGAGCGGTTTTACAGGGCGCGAGGATTACGCGATTCCCAAAGGGTAGCCTGAGGGTCCTAGATCAAAGGAGTGGGGCGTCCTCCAGGGTCCGAGCGGTTCCGAGAGATGACCACAATCTTTGCCAGCAATCCCATGTCCTACCAACAATCTACCGCCACGACAAACCACTGCTCACCACCCACCGCCCGCCGACCATCGTCCACCGCCTCGACCAGCCACAACCCTCCAACCACCCACGTTCCATCACCAGCCGCCGCCTACGGCCAGCCGCCCCCCCCCCCGAACCACGACCGCCGCCGTCGCTGCCGCCATCGCCGCCGCCGTCTGCCACTACCAGGCGCCGTGGAGACCCGAGCTGCGCCCCGACGCTGGCTGGGGCTCCCGCGGGCCCCCCTAAAGCTGCGCACCAGGGGTCACTCTTGTCTGAGGTCACTTTCACTTCCACTCGCGCGCACAGCGTCTGTGGTAGCTCACTGGCTTCACGACTGCGTCGCCGAGCTTGTCATCGTGCTGCGGTGCCCGCCCCCGCGGAGTGGAGCGACACGCGAGTCATCCGCTCGCAAGGCACAGCGTGTCGCCAGGGCCGCCAGGGCGACACGCTGTCCCAAAGTCTCCGACCGCGAAGCCGCGCACCAGGGGTCACTCGATCGTCCGGGGCCACCTCCTGCGTGCAGCCGAACCCGCCCGGGGCCGGCGCGCGCCGAGGCGACGCCCGTGCCCGCCCGCCGCGACGGCGCCCTGCGCACGGGGCCGCTGCGGCCGGTGGCTGCCCGCAGCAGCGCGCGTGGGGCTGCTGGCGCAGGACGGCGGGCGCCGCCGCCGCTGCGACCGCTGCCGCCGCCGTCGGGCGCCGCTGCCCGCCGCCGCCGCCGTTAGCACGAGCGCCGCCGCTCGGAGCGGGCCGGAGGTCTGAGGTGCTGGCCGGCAGAGGCCCCCGCGGAGGGGCCCCCGCCCACGGGCCAGGCGAGGAGCAGCGCGGCGTGCACCCGCAGAGTCGTGTCGTTGGCCTGCTCCGCGCTTCCGCTTGTCCCGGGGAGGCTGGGATGCAAGCCTCAAGGGGGGAAGCAGGGGGGCGAGGAGGAGGAGGAGGCGACGAGGAGGAGGAGACGAGGAGGAGGAGGAGGAGGAGGAGGAGGAGAAGGAGGAGGAGAAGAATATGTAGATCGAAGACGAAGAGGGAGAAGAGGGGGAACGGGGGAATAGGGACGGCGGTGGAGAGGTTGGCGAGGAGGCGGAGGAGGAGGAGGGGGGGAGGAGGGGAGGAAAGCGTGGAGGGCAAGGAGGGGGTGGGGGGAAAGGAGGTGGAGGAAGAACGAGAGTTCGGTCGTGATCATAATGCAGGGCAGTGCCGACCACGCAACGGCTGCCCGTAGCATGAGGTGCGCGGGCCCGACGGCCCCCTGCCGACAGCCCCCTGCATGTACAGATGGCCCGCGCAGGGAAGCCGAAGCCAAGGAGGGTCTGGCCGCGACTGCGCGCTCGGCCTCGGCCGCGCATGCCGCCGCAGCGCTGCCCTAGGCTGCCGTGCGGCTGCGCGCGTCACGCTGCTGAGGTCGCCCTCGAGCTGGCTGGCGACCTCGGCGATCTGGGCTTCCTTGCTGCTGCTGCGGTCGGGCGCTTTGGGATAGTGTGGTGATCGGCCGGCTCTGGCCCACCATGCTTCGCCGCGGCACGGTATCCGCTTTCGGTCCCCAGGCGTCCGCCAATCGAGTTTTTTCAGGCCTCCCACCCCGCGGAGCGGAGCGTTGCGCGCTCCGCTCGCCAGGCACAGCGTGTCGCCGGGGCCGCCGCCGCGACGCGCGGAGCAAAAGGTCCCGACCGCAGAGGCTGCCGCCCCGCCGCTCGCTGCCGCCCTCGCCAGGGCAGGTGCCGGCGGCCGCTGGGCGCGCGCCGCCTCCGCTGCGCGGCTCCGCGGCGGCCTGCCGCGCCCGCCCCGCGCGGCGCGGGCCCGCGCCCGCGCCCGAGCCGCCGCCGCGGCGCTCGGTCCCCCCCCCCCCCGCGGCGGCGCGGCTGTGGGGCGGGAGCGCCACCTGGAGCGCTCTCGGCGCCGTCGCCGACGGGCCCTCGAGGACTCCACGGCGCGCCGCCTCGCAGCCTAGGTGCAGCACCGCGGCGTGCGTGTGGAGCCTGCCCCATGTGCTGCAGGGACTGGCGCGGCATGGCGCGTGCGTGCGCACACGGAGCTCGCGGGCCGCGACGCTCCGAAGGATGAGCTTCAGGGCCTCCCGTGCCGCACGGTGCTTTGGGCGCAGCCGCTCTGATGATGGGCCCGTCTTCCACCACCACTACCACTACCATAGGTAGGACGGGGGAGGAGGGAGGAGGGGGAGATCCTCCTCCTCCTCCTCCTCCTGCTCCTCCTCCTCCTCCTCCTTCTCCCTCCTCCTCCGCCTCCTCCTCCTCCCTCCTCCGCCTCCTCCTCCTCATCCTCCTCCTCATCCGACTCCGACTCCGACTCCGACTCCTCCCTCTCCTATATACGATAGTGGTGGTGGAAAGTCGGTCCATTATCTGACCTGCAATCTTGAAAACACGGGGGGGGCACTCCACGCGTTCCTGCTGCAGCCCGCGCCTGCTCCACCTGCAAGGTCGCCGACGAGGACCTCAGCGAAGGAGCTACAGCAATCGTGCTAGCATGGGGAAAGCATAAATATGAACGAAGGGGCTTTTCTGTCCGCGGCGGGCCTATGTGCCACAAACATGTTCCACGACAAAAGTTTAAGGAACGGTCCGAAAATCAGAGCCCCTCCTGAGGCCACGGTGGTCCTTATTGCAGCGCCTTGACTGTAGCCAAGGCGCTGCAATAAGGGGGACATGCCCGACCTGAGCCTATCCCGTCTACCCAGAGCGGCCCCAAGACGCCTACGCTCAATGGTACACTGTGCCACTCCTCCTGCAAAAGTGTCGTGGCCTGAAGCTCGAGCTTTCTGAAACGACGTAAGGCTTAGCTGGCACGCCCTCGCCTCCACAGCCCTCACCGCTTCGGCAGACGACGCCAAATAGCCTGACTTGGAACCTTGACTGAGGAACCCAAGCATGCGGGTGCCACTGGCGAAAGCCACAGCAGCGTTGAACACCACCCCAGCATGCCTGGCCAAGCGCCCAACCCACTGAAAGGACACACCATCCATCAAGCCTCGGGGCACAACAACACCAAACTGTTTCTCCAGCCTTCTTGGAGAGACCTCAAATCACAACCTGCATGAGCGTGGTTGCATGTAAGCCACCTGCTGACCAAACTCCCGCGGAAGGACGTGCATGACCCGCTTGGAAAACTGAGCCCTCTGATGTGCCGCGGCTGCTGGCAGCCACAGGCCAACATCCACGCTGAGCCAAGGGGGACACCACCCGCCGCAACCTCGGCCATCACAGCCCCGTGCTCGACAAGTTCATCACACCTGAACATGTCAGTTGTAGCCGTCACGCAGTGCTGGTCTGTGCATGTGGCTATCTCCGCGCCTCGAGGCTGTGCGCAGAGGCCTCGCCCGGGCTCGACCTGCCGAGGCCCGAGCCCCAGAGCAGCTCACTGCGAGCGTGCCCCTCCCGCTCCACTGGCCTTGGCATCGCTCGGACGTGTGCATTTTTCTTTCGGCGAGGACCATCTGGGAGCATCCTTGATCACTTGTCGAAAAACCACGCACGACACCGAAAAAAACACAGGGAATGGACGTCCAAGCGATGGCGAGCTGGCGCAGGCCTCCGAACCCTCCCCCACACCGTGACTGGAGTACGCGTAAGGGCTATGAGCCGATGCACCCCTGGCTTGCTGGGCTGAGTTGATGTACCTGGCTCGTGGGCCACTCGACGTCGTGGCCAACGCCCTAGCTTTTCACATTGCATGAACAGACGGGCGACCGACTCGAGCGACGCGTCACTGAGGGCCAGAAACTGCGCGGTGCAGGCATGCGTGGGCCCACCGCAGTGGTGGCCGCAAACTTGCACACAGCCGCCCGCGCATCCCCGCGGGGTGGGCTATTGACGGCTGTTCTGGCCAGCTCTCCCCACGCGTAGCCCTTGCTGGTCGCATCATGTACATAGTACCTACCACACGCAAGATCTCTAAGTTGGTGACGTCCAGCCCCACCGAGTCGTGCAAGTACACAGAACAGCCACACATCTTCCAGCGCGGCCCCAATGCACATGACCTGCCGATGCCATGCAAGGCACCAAGCAGCCTGACTCATGACAGCACCCGTCACCTGGATATCAATTTTAGAAGTAACATCGCACCCCTCACGAGTCCCACCACCAGCAGATTGCGCCGCCTCGTGCCAGACACCGCGGTAGCCCAGGCCGCGGACCCGCCGTGGCAGGGCAACCACTTTCCTTGCGCCCGCGCGGTGCTCCTGGACCAGCACCACGTTGCAGTCGAAGGCCCCGCGCGCAAGCAACGCCCCCAGCTCGCAGTAGGAGGACGCGTTGGCGGTGGCGACGTGTCCCTTGTCCAGGGGGGCCTCCGCATCCACGGGAGGGGCATCTGCAAGACCGTCTGGCCTCACGCTTCCAGCATCTGCAGCAGCCCCCCTCCATCGCCAGGCCGAGGCCCCGAGTCACCAACGGGGGGCCCCGTGCGAGCCGACTCCCCGTTCCCCGAGGTTGCAGCACCCTTCGCAATGGCAGGTGCCCCTCTCGCAGGTCCTGGCCGACGGAGCGCCGCGTGATACGCCCCGGCTTGCCCCAGGGGGCCGAACCCGCAAGGCCAATGTCGGCCCCCGCGGGGAGGCGCTCTAACCCCGTCCGCCGCTTGGCTGGGGAAGACCTCGGACACCGAGATCGCCTGCACGTCGTCCTCCTGCTGCTTCACCGTGCTGCAGGTCAAGCAAAACTGTGGCGCCGTTGAGCCCAGGGCGCTGCGCCGAAGCTGTGGCGCATGGGGCTCGCGATCTAACACTTGGCAAAACTGAGGCGATGTGATGCACAGGGCACTGCGCCGAAGTTGTGGCGATGGGCGCTCGTCATCATCACCATAAAGACAAGGGCCCAAAACCACGACACGACACCACCAGCACCTCGCCCAAGGCAGGGCCCGCGCGCTGGCGCTTGGCGAAGCTCTGCAGGCCATCGCGGCACCTCTTGGCCGCCTCCCGCGGCTCCGACTCGCCCTCTGGCACTGCGATACCCCTGGCGAGGAGGAACGCTCGCAACATTTCGGGTTGGTCTGCACCGTCACCTGCAGGGATTGGCAGAACGAAGCCTGGCACCTGCCCTCCTCCATGTTGCGCTGGCTGAGGGGCCTGTTGCAGTGGCGCCTCTGGCTGCGCGCTGCCCCACGGCTTGCAGCGCCGCTGGCTGCTGCCGCCGCTGCCTCTGCCATCTGCTTCGTCTGCTCAGCCTGGCGCTGCGCCAGGGCTCACACAGCCGCCTCACACACTCACCCAATTGCTGTGCACAGGTCCCTTGCCACTTGCTCGTCCGCCCCGGAAGAGCCCAAGGACCTACACCATCTGCTCGACAGACATTTGGATGTTCGGGAGCACCTCATCCAACGACGCCTTGGTGCCCTCGACGACCGTGGTGGGCTGCGGGAACTGGACTGCGACCTTTGCCCTCTGCGCCTCAAGCGCAGTGACCTCCTGCTGAATCGACGCCAGCACCTCTGTGACTTCTTGTTGCTGGGCCTGCAACTCTCACATCTGGACCTGGAGATGTTGGGCCTCTCGCTTGGCAACTGCCTGCTTCCCGAGGCCCGCAATCTGCTGAGAGATGCGCTGGATCTGAACAGACAACGGCTTCAGACCCATCGGCTTCGCTCGAAGTCGGCCAGCTCCACTGCATACTGCTCACGTAGTTTCCGTACACCTCCCGCTGAACCTGTCACATGTTCGAGGCTGCTTATCATGACGCGCACCCCCTTGGCCCGCTCAGACTCCACCTCTGCCTCGAGTTGTGCCCCGCTCTTGTTCGCCAGCTGGTCTGGAACTGCCTTGGCCTTGGAGAGGTCCGCCTTGAGTTGCTTGAGCTCCAGCTGCGCCCTGCGAAGTTCTGCCCCCCCGTCCTTGTCCGAAGAGGCGCCTGGGCTAGCAGACTTTGACGCAAGACTGACACTTCGGATGAGTGAAGCGATGTATCTTTCCCACCTGAGCACATCTTGCATGTGAGCAGGTCGGCGTGATTCCGCTACCTGTCCCCACTAGCCAGGTGCCAGCAGAAACGACAAAACCACGGCTGCGCCCACGCCATGCGTTCCTTCTTGTACCCACTGGGCGGAAGCATGTTGGCGCTGCCGCCGTCTGGACCACACTGCTCCGACAGGAGCTCACTGAAGTGGAAGATCGCAGCCTTGGAGCAGCGGTATCCTTTTCGTTGTCGGGGACAGCCCAAATTTTGAGCCAAAGTGGCTACGGATAGGAGGAGGAGAAGGAACCCAGGGAGAAGGAGGAGTAGGAGGAGGAGGAGAAGGGGAGGGGGAGGAGGAGGAGGAAGTAGAGAAGCGCAGAGTCGAGGGGGGAGGAGGAGGACGAGGAGGAGGAGGAGGAGGACGACGAGCGAAATTTGAGCGCACGTCATCGTGTTTCTCCTGCCCACCTCATAGAGTGCAACCGCCTAGGCACCAATGATGCTAGCGTTTGGCCTGTGCCAAGCAAGTGTTTGCTGGTTTCGTAGCTGCGTTCTACGGGACGCCTCCGCAGACTACAGCCAACCAGGTGCACCCAAAATTGCAGTAGCAGTACCCTTTTGAGCATCGGCTTCCTTCTTCACGCTGCCTGTTTGCAGCATGCGTGCCTGCAGACGATTTCGCGGACGTGTTCGCATCTCGAGCACTAGATCCTTGCGATCCATCTTGCCATCTAGCCTGGCATCGCTCGGACGTGTGCATTTGTCCTTCGGCGAGGAGCGTCGAGGAGCATCCTTGCTCATTTGGCGTAAAAAAACGCACGAAACCGAAAAAAACACAGGGAATGGAGGTCCGAGCGATGGCCAGCTAGGTCGTGATGCCTCCAGGTGACTGGCGTGAAAGACAGGGCCGACTGCGCGGACGCTGGAGCGCAAGCTGTCCCTGCAAGGGGTCCAGGGGTCGGCGCTCCCGCCTCCGCGCGGCATGTCGCGCCGGCGGCCCGCGTCGGCCACCGCGCGAGGCCGCCGTGGCATCGTGCGCCCCGGACAGGCGGTGCCCTGACGTTTTCCACACAGTTTTTGTTGGTCGGCGGGGCGAGAGCGAACCTCTTCCGCCAAAAGCTAGGCGGGCTACGCACAGCTTTGATGGGGAAGACAGGGCACAGGCGGGCGGGGCCTCAGGCGGCCGGAGTGGGCGGGGCCCGGGGTGCAGGCGGTGCCGAAGAGCTTGCACAGGAAAAGGACGTTTTCAACACAGGCGAGCACATAATAAAGAAGCCTCCTCCCGAAGAGCTGGGCCCGCGTTTCTTCACCAGCTTGCCAGACGGCTGACCCAGTTGCTCGAGCACGGTCGCCCCTTCAGCATGATCGGCAGAAATCGCCCCAGCTTTTCGTTTTCAGAAACCTCCGGGAAGCCAGCCCAGATCTCTTGATCAATAGTTTTTTCGATCCTATTTTCGTCTGTACGGGGCGCCCCGGAAGTCCCGACTCTTTCCCTGGGGCTGGTTTTCCATCGCGAGTCGCTTTGTGACGGTCCCGGGGCCCGGCGAGGGGCCCCATGGAGGCCGAAGACAGCCCAAATCTTCCTGTCCTCAGTGTTGCCACCTCGCGATCACGTCGGGGGTCAGGCCCCCGTCAGGCCTCCCTTTCCACAATGCGTGCCGGTCGAGGGGCCCCAAACGGTGTGGTGGCCACACCGTGTGGGGAGTCGGTGGGGACTCGGGGTCGCTGCACGGTCTTGGGACTTGGGCCGTTCTTCGAGGACGTCTCGGGCGATCGGGGCCTCCGAGGCCCCCAAGCCGTGTGGTGACGGACCCTGCGGTGAGGTCTTCGGCACGGATTGCGTGGTCACCGCGGGGTCCGTCACCGCACGGTGTTGGGACCCCCAAGCCGGTCTCCTTCCCCGCGCGGTTCAAGCGCCGCGGCGGCGCACCGCTGCGTGGCCCGCCGCGCCCGCTGCACGGCCGCCGCAGCCGCGCCCAGGGGCGGCGGCGCGGGCAGGCGGATGCGCGGTCCACCAGCGTGGGCGGCCGCGCTGCCGGAGGCGGCCGTGGGGGTTTGCGCCGAGAGCGGGGCTCAGCGCGTTCCTCTCGGTGATTCCCAGGACGTGTGTTAAGCCAAGCGTGTGTGTTGCCCCGTTCGTTACCAGCCTCGAACGTATCCCTATCCCTAAGATTGACGCGCCAAAAGGCCATGACAATCTTAGGGATTCGACCTCAAAAAATAAGGCAATCCCTAAGATTAGCATCGTGATGAGGAGGTGCCCAGCATAGGCATAGGGATTTGTTCCAGGCTGGTAAGAGTTCGGATCCGCCGATAGCACGCAGCCTGTGTCGGCCCTCGTTGCGCCGCCTGAGAGGTGTTGAAGGGCTTCGGTGGACACGCACACGTTGGCGCCAGCACACGTGCTGAGGACAGTCGAGCCTCGCCGACCATGGCCTGCCCGGAGTTAATGCGAGGCTGCGGAAAAGCAGCTTGGAGCGGCCAGTCTTTGGGCCGTCTTCGGCTCCCTTGGATGCCCTCCACGGACCCCAGGGCCATCAACGAAACTACTCAGAGCGACAAACCAGCCCCAGGGAAGCGGTCCAGACCTCCAGTGGCCGACGCATCGAACAAAATTAGAGCGCCGGATGCCCAGGGTACGGTGCGGTCTCGCTACCAGGGGGCCTACCGCCGGTCTGTCGGCGACGCATCGCCGATTCCAGGCCGCTGCTCCGCCTTCCGCCCCCCAGTTCGGAGGGAGGAGAAGCGACACCAACACCACCAGGGGGGCCACCTCCAGCGAAGAGGTCCACGAGGCCTCTCCGAGCTGGAGGCTGGGGATGTCTCGAGCGAAGGGGGGGGACCACACCACCAGGGAGACCCCCTTTGCTCCTCGCACCTCCTCGCCCTGGGGGTGTTGTTGTCGCCTTTCACTCTTCCTGCCGGGTCAGTGCTCCCTGTCGCCCCCGCCCTCCCGCCCGCCCCGCAGGCGAGGGATGCGGCCCAGCGGGTGCCCACTCCCCCGCTGGGCATGGCGCGGCCTGACGCCGACAGCCTCTGCCGGGCCGCGGCCGCGCCGCCCAAGCCGGCGTCGGCGCCCGAGGCGTCGCCGCGCCACGGGGCGGCTGGCGGCTCCTTCGGGATGCGGGCGGCGGAGTGCCTGCTGGGCCAGTCGTCCGCGCCGTGTGGCAAGGGAAAGGGCACGGGCAAAGGCAAGGGCAAGGGCAAAGGACAGGATCTGCGGGAGCTGGCGACGATAGATTGGAACGGCACGGAGATCAAGGAGGCGTCCAAGGACGTCAGCTTTCCTCACCCGAGCGTGCAGGAGCGCACCGTGGAGGACTGCAGGAGAATCTGGGCCAGCCAGGGTATCCGCTGCCACTTTCACGGGCGAGAGGACGCTGTGGCCGAGGACGAGTGGGACCTGCCGAAGCCCATCGTGGACTTCGAGGAGGCGGCATTCCCCGACTGGGCGACCGATGAGCTGCGAGCCCGCGGTTGGAAGAGTCCCACGCCGATCCAGTCGCAGGCCTGGCCCACAGCGGTGCGCGGCCACGACATCATCGGCGTGGCCGAGACAGGCAGCGGCAAAACGATGGCCTACGTCCTTCCGATGATCATGCACGTGCGAGTGCAGTCCGAGATCAAACCGGGAGAGGGCCCTGCCGGGTTGGTCTTGGTGCCGAGCCGCGAGCTCGCTGTTCAGGTGGCCGAGCAGTACAAGTGGTTCGAGCGGCACACGGGCATCAAGTGCACGAACGTGTTTGAATAACACGGCTTCGCGGGGGCACGGCTGGGCAAGCGTTCCGTTAGTTTTTGGGACGTGTCGGGGGTCTCTGGGGGCTGTTTTTGGTGCTGTTTTGGGACGTCTGTGACCCTTTGGGCCGTCTTTGGGGCTCTTGGGGGGTCTTGGGGGCGCCTGGGGGCCAAGAGGTCGTCTTGGGGCCCTCGTGGGACGTCTTGAGCCCCTCGGGGGCCCTCTCAGGTCGTTTTGGGCCACTCTTGCGCCGTCTTGGGCAGGTCTTGGGGCATCTTGGGCCATCCTGGACGCCATTATGAGAACCGAAATGGCGAGTATGCCAACATACTATAACAACGACTCGTTGAATTATGTTGGCTTCTTCGGAGCCTTTTTCGGGACGTGATCTGGAGAGCAGAATGAGGAGGCCAAATGAGAGGATGCTGATGATGAGAAGACAGGGAACGCCAAGGAAAGGGCGAGTGAGATGATGGTGATGATGCTGGTGATGGTGGTGATGATGATGCTGATGCGGATGCGGATGCGGATGCTATGCCGATGATGATGATGATGGCGACGATAATGATGATGGCGTTGCTGATGCTAGTGGTGGTGGTAGTGATGATGATGGTGATGATGATGGTGCTGATGATAGTGACGATGATGGTGGCAATGGTATGATTACGATGACCATGACGATGGTGACGATGATGGTGATGCCGATGATAATGATGATGATGATGATGATGATGAGGAGGAGGAGGAGGAGGAGGAGGAGGAGGAGGATGAGGATGCTGATGATGATGATGCTGATGATGGTCATGTGATGGTGATGGCGGTGCCGATGTCGATGATGATGACGATGACGACGGCGGTGGCGATGACGATGGTGACGATGATGGTGATGACGATGATGATAATGATGATGATGCTGGTGATGCTGATGACGATGCCGATGACGATGATGATGATGATGATGATGACGCTGACGATGACGATCATGATGATGATTATGATGATGCTGATGATGCTGAACATGATGCTGATCATGATGCTGATCATGATCATGATGATGCTGATGATGTTGATGATGATGATGGTGATGGTGATGGTGGTGGTGGTGGTGGTTGTGAGAAGGAGGAGCGTACTGAGGGTACTGATGACGCGGGGTGAGTCTACACCCACTGGCACCGAGCCTGAAAGAAGACGCTAGCCTATGCTCCCATCCTCGTCTAAATCTCAGTATTCGCCCTCCCAGCGATGCTTATCACTCTCCCAAACAACAGGCGCCTTGGGGGACTCAAAACCGAGTAACCTTGCAGTTTGCTGAATGGTGAGTGAAGGGATCACCGCGCTGGCAGGCGTCGGCGGCGGGACAGCTGCGGCCAACTCGGACCTTTCAACAGCAGCATTGTTCAGGAACGACTTCCCGCCCCCACCACCACCAGCAGGCTCGTGGCCAAGCACAGGACCCAAAGCAGCTTAAGTAATGTCAGTCGGCCTGAACGGGCTTCCAAGGGCAGCCTTGCCCAGGCTGGTGATCGTTTTCTTATTCCCTACCTAGGCTCTGCCTAGAAGGGTTCTTACTTTATTAGCTTAAAAGGGCCGGGCAGTGGAAACCGCCCCGGGCGGTTCCCCGGGCATCCGCCCCGCGGTTCCCCCAGTGACGTTCCCTTAGCTTCGCGTTGTTTATCTCATCTTAACTGAGTTTACCTTAGCTTAGTTTAGCTTCATCTTAGCTTCGCGCAGCTGTAGCTTAGCCTAGCTTAGCTTAGCTTAGCCTAGCCTAGCTTAGCTTAGCCTAGCTTAGCTTAGCTCAGCCTAGCTTAGCGCAGCGCAACATTAGCATAGCATAGCATAGCATAGCATAGCATAGCATCGCATAGCGCAGCATAGCATAGCGCAACATAGCATAGCATAGCATAGCGCAGCATAGCATAGTATAGCATAGCTTAGCTTATCATAGCATAGCACAGCGCAGCATCGCATAGCATAGCATCATATAGCATAGCATAGGATAGCAAAGTGCAGCACAGCATAGCATAGCATAGCATCGTATAGCGCGGCATAGCATAGCATACCATAGCATAGCGCAGCATAGCATAGGACAGCAAAGTGCAGCATAGCATAGCATAGCATAGCCTAGTATAGCATAGCATAGCGCAGCATCGCATAGCATAGCATATCATAGCGCAGCATAGCATAGCGTAGCCTAGCCTAGCCCAGCATAGCATTGCGCAGCATAGCAGAGCATCGTATAGCATAGCATAGCATAGCAGACCGTAGCATAGCATAGCATAGCCTAGCGCAGCACAGCATCCACGATTGCTGCTCCTACGAATGCTGCTTGTCTAGAGGCTCCAACTCCTAGGCAGGGTCGCACTGGGATAGTTCATTGTTTTGCCGATCGGCGCGGGACCCCGCCCCCCCCCCAGTAAGCAAATGTATATGTTACTATGCTGCTGGTTTGCAGCTGGGCGAAGGATTGCAAAAAAAACGGGGGATTGCAAAAAAACGAAGGATTGCAAAAACACCCTTTTTCGAAGGATTGCAATCCTTCGTTTTTTTGCAATTTGTTTTGCAATCCTTCGTGGGTTTGTTTTGCGATCCTGCCCGAATGCCAACGATGAGAGCAATTACTATGTTGTTGCGGCGCTCCTTTGTGCCGATGGGCCCAGCAACGCGTGCCAGACTTGGTGGTGGCATCGCCCCAATCGCCCCAACCGTCACCATCGGGTGTCGTTTTTCTCCTATAGGTGTTTCCTGTTTGAACCGCACGCATTTGTGTAATGACCCAACGTTTCACGAATTGTCGCTTGACTTCGACGCTTTGTCGGCACTCGCGAAAGCGCCGCCAATGACACCCGAACATTAAATACATGGTAAAACCTATGGCTTTTCAACGGTTCAGGCGGCTCAACGGGAACAACTGAACGAAAACTCTGTCAAACGCCCCAAGGCGAATTGCAAGCGGCAGGGCAAGATGGCGGGGACGGGGCCGAGGTTTTTTGCTATCGAGTCTGCAAACGAAGCGAAGCATCCCGAGCGAGCCCTGCCCCCCAAACGCGTCGTGCGCACTTGCAGGCCGAGCCAAGAAGCTAGCAACTAGGTGGCAATGCTGCCGCGAGCTGCACGGCTACTACTGCAGCGACTGCACAACAAATCCCGAGCAACTCCTGCCCCCGAGCGCACCGCGCAAACCCTGCAGGCGCCCGCAGGGAATATAACCCCAAAGCGGCGGCTTGCCTCATGGTCGCGACCTTGACGACCAGGCGCAACAGGCTCCTCATCGTGCCTGGGCCGTTCAACCACAGCATGTGCCGCCGTGGGCCGCACCAGAGACGGCCACGTCGCCCTCATTCCAGCGGCCTGCCATCGACGGCTCCTGCGTGTCAGGCTCGATGTCGCGTTGCTCCTCCTGTGCGACTAGCTGCCCGCCGCCCTCGGGCGCCCCGCTGGCCGCCGTAACGCCGATGAGCCCGCCGCACGGTTCGCGACCGCGCTGCTCCTCCTGCGTGCACGGCAGCCCGCCGACCTCGGGCGCGCCGTTGGCCGCCGCAGCCGAATCGATATCCAGCAACTTCTCCATCTCCTGGGCCAGGTGGCACACCTTCATCCTCTTCTGGGCTGCCTCAGCCTCGTCCTCATCGCTCGGGCGGTTGCGTTTCGCCGAGAATGCCTTGATCGTCTCGCCGCCTACTGCTTTCAAGGCCATGCGGACACTGTGTGGTTTCCAGACGTGGTCGGCCACCGCATCGAACACCCCCTCGATGTCGGACATGGAAGGCATGGCCACATACATGCCGTCGAACACCAGACTCAAGACGCACGCGTTCAGCCCTTTGGCAGCAACGGCCATGCTCTCGAGGACGTTGTCTTCCATCGTCTGCAGGTGCAGCGCCGGTGCCGAGGACCCTGGATGCGCCTTCAGCAACGCCTTCTCCATGGATGCAACCTTGCGGTTCCTGGAAGTCCCCGCGCCACTGGCGGGCCCCGCCGCCGCGGCTGGGCTCTCCGCGGGACAGCAGCGAATCCCCAAGCCGCGCGCGGTCGGGCAGGCCAGCGGCGAGGTCGAAATCCAGAACGTCGCCTTCGTGTACTCGTCACACTGAGCCGCCAGAATCTCCTGGCCGCGCCTGAAAGCGCTCCTCAACTCCATCAGGCACGGCAGGATGTCGTCGGCGATCGCTCTCCGAGGACGCATCGCGCTGAACGCCGCCCTTGAAAGGCAGCCGCGAGAAGATCTTTGGCCTCGGACACGTCGATGTCATAGTACTGAGCCACAGCGGCGCGTCACTCTTTGGATTTGTCCGCGTACATCTTGACGATCCCGAAGTCGCGCTCAACGGCGCCAGCCGGAACGTGCGGGCGCAGCGCCTCCAGGAATATCTGATAGAACGCCGCGATCATGTCGAACTCACCCACTGCCATGCCGTTGAACGCGACGACTCGCGTCTCCCTGACGCAGGACTGAAGCCCTGGGCCTGACTCGTGCGCGCGGCCGATCTTGTTGAGCTGGCAGTACTCGCGGCGAAGGGCACGGATGTCTGGGCGCTCTGGCACGGAGGCCGGGCGGGGGAAGCCGTCCTTCAGAGCGCAGGCCTTGCCCGCTTGGTCCAGGAGATCCACGCACGCAGACAGCCCCTCCTGGCGACGCTCGCCCGCGACGGCAGCCCCCGCGTCGCGCCGGGTCCGCGGCGCGGTCAAGTTGGCTGCCTCGCAGACAGCGTAACAGCATCGGCTCGGCACATCGGCTTCGGCGGGCTTGGCGAGCGCGTCCTCGGCGGGGACGCAAGCGTCGAGGGAGACGTTGCACGTGCATCCCGCGAGGTCGCCGAACGCGGCAGCGTCCGCGAACAGCTGGTCGCACAGCGACGCGTCGAAGAGGAGCACGGCCACGCGCGCCTGCATTCTCTGATCGCGTGACTTCGCGGCCCCGATCTGGAGGAGATTGGCCCCGAGGCGACCCGGCGCGCGGACGTGGCCCAGGAGGGTAGCCCACCGCTTCGTCTTCGGGGCGGCCAGTGGCAGTTCGCACTTAGTCTGCTCCACCTGGCACTGCAGAAGGGCGCTGGTCCTGGGCGAGTGGAGGCGAGCGTGGATGTCC